ATAATGGTCTAATAAACCTTGATTCTGAGCCTTGATGTGTTCAGCTTTTTAGTAAATAATGACATGCTTTTAAAAACCATTTGGTGTGGGGTGCCTGGGTGGCTCAGTTGGTTAAACATCTACCTTCTGCTCAGGTCATGATCCCGGGGTCCTGGGATGGAGCCCTGTGTGGGGCTCCCTGCTCAGGGGAGAGCTTGATTCTCCCTCTCCCTCTACCCCTTTCCCCCATCGTGCTCTCTCTCACTCTCTTGCTCGCTCCCTCAAATAAATAAAATCTTGAAAAAAACCAAAACATTGAGGGGGTGCTTGGGTGACTCAGTCAGTTAAGTGACTCTTGATTTTGACTCAGGTCATGATCTCAGGGTTGTGAGATGGAGCCCAACAATGCTGGGCCTGGAGCCTGCTTAAAATTCTCCCCCTTGTGCTCATGTACACATGTACATACACACACATGTTCTTTCTCTCTCTCTCTCTTGCTTAAAAAAAAATTACAATTTGAAAAATTTGACAAATTTAGTTGTGTAACCCAGCACCCTAATGATATAGAACAGGGGTCAGCAAACTACACCCCATAAGCCAATCTGGTCTACTGTTTGTCTGTATCTATTTATTTATTTATTTATTTAGATGTATTTATTATATATAGAGAGAATGTGTGCCTGAGCAGGCTGAGGGAGGGGCAGAGGGAGAGAGAGAATTCTGAAGCAGACTCCTGGCTGAGTGTGGAGCCCAAAGTGGGGCCCAATCCCAGGACACTGAGATCGTGACCTCAGCTGAAATCAAGAGTCACAGCCTAACTGACTGATGCACCCAGGCACCCCTACTGTCTATTTTTAGTTATAAAAGTTTATCTTAATATAGCCTTTATTTGGTATTGTTTGTGGTTGTTCCCATACTACATTGACAGTTGAGTTCTTGCAACAGAGACTTTGGACTGCAAAGCCTGAAATATTTACTATTTGGACTTTCATGTAAATTTGCTGATCTCTGATATAGAACATTTCTTTTACCCACAAAGTTTCCTGATGCCCCTTTGCTATTAATCTACTCCTTTTACCCCCACTCTTTAGCAATCACAGATCAGCCATCTGCCACTATAGTTTTGACTTTTCTAGAATTTGATATAAATGGAATCATACAGTGTATAGTCTTGTCTGACTTCTTTCACTGAGATTAGTACTTTTGAGATTTATCCAAGTTGTTGAATGTATTAGTAGTTTGCTTTTTTTGTTGGTTTTTTTTTGTCATTGTGGGGTTTTAATTTTTTTTTTTTTTTTTGAGTAAGCTCTATGCCCAATGTGGGCCTTGAACTCATGATCCCAAGATCAAGGGTCGCATGCTGTATGGACTAAGCCAGCAAGGTGCCTCAGTAGTTTCCTTCTTTTCAGTTGTTGATTTGCATTTTCTTTTCTTTTTTTTAATAAATGAACCTTTTTTTTTTTAAAGATTTTATTTATTCGACAGAGAGAGACACAGCGAGAGAGGGAACACAAGCAGGGGGAGTGGGAGAGGGAGAAGCAGGCTTCCTGCGGAGCAGGGAGCCCGATGCAGGGCTTGATCCCAGGACCCTGGGACCATGACCTGAGCCGAAGGCAGATGCCCAACAACTGAGCCACCCAGGCGCCCCTCTTTTCTTTTTTTTAAAAGATTTATTAATTTGAGGGCACCTGGGTGGCTCAGTCGGTTAAGCAGCTGCCTTCGGCTCAGGTCACGATCCCAGGACCCTGGGATCGAGCCCCGCGTGGGGCTCCCTGCTCGGCGGAGAGCCTGCTTCTCCCTCTCCCTCTGCCTGCCTGCCACTCCCCCTGCTTGTGCTCTCTCTCTCTCACTCTCTTTCTCTGTGTCAAATAAAATATTTTTAAAAAAAAGATTTATTAATTTCAGAGAGAGAGTGCGCGGGGTGGGGGCCGGGCAGAGGGAGAGAGGGAATCTCAAGCTGACTCCCCATTGAGCACTGAGCCTGACCTGGAGCTTGATCCCAGGACCCTGAGACCATGACCTGAGCCGAAACCAAGTCAGATGCTTAACCGACTGAGCCATCCAGGCATTTTCTTTTATTGAATTTCTTGAAAATGTTGATTCATTCTTGCTTTGCTTTGAATTTTGCTTTTAGGAAATCTGATGGTTGCCTAACTTTTTTTTTTTTTTTTACCCTTATTAGGTAATACGATTTTTTTGCCTTGAGGCTCTGAGGATTTTTTTCCATGCCTTTAAAGTCTGAGTTTTTGTTGTTGTTTGTTTTTGTTTTACAGGGCTGGGTGCAGGGGCAGTGGAGGAGGGGCAGAAGGAGGAGAGAGACTCTACACCTAGAACTGTGGGGTTCCATCTCACTACCCTGAGATCATGACCTGAGTTGAAATCAGGAGTTGTATGCTTAACCAACTGAGCTACCAGGTGCCCCTAAAGTCTGATAGTTTTTTTTTTTTTAAGATTTTATTTATTTATTTGACAGAGAGAGAGAGAGAGAGAGAGAGTGAGAGATGGAACACAAGCAGGGGGAGTGGGAGAGGGAGAAGCAGGCTCCCTGTGGGACTCGATCCCAGGACCCCAGGATCATGACCTGAGCCGAAGGCAGTCGCTTAACCAACTGAGCCACCCAGGCGCCCAAGTCTGATAGTTTTATTAGTATATGTCATGAGGTTGATTGTTCCTGGTAATACTTTTACTTACTTTCTGCTGTTTTTTTAGAATATAGTTTTAAAATTATAGTTTCTGTTTAATCAGCTGAAGTTTTTTTTAATTTTTAATTTTTAATTTTTTAAAGATTTTTTTTTATTTGAGAGAGAGCATGAGCAGGGGGAGGGGCAGAGGGAGAGGGAGGAACAGACTCCTCACTGAGTACAGAGTCGACATAGGGCACAGTCCCAGGACCCTGAAATCATGACTTGAGCCAAAGTCAGATGCTTAGCCGACTGAGCCACCCAGACACCCCTTTTTTGGTTTTGTTTTTTTAAAGATTTTATTTATTTTAGAGAGCACAAGGAGGGACGGGAGGGAGAGGGAGGGGGAAGAGTCTCAAGCAGACTGCTTGCTGAGCTTGGAGCTCAAGGCAGTGCTTGATCTCACTCATGACCCAGAGACCATAACCTGAGCCCAAACCAAGAGTTGGATGCTCAACCTGCTGAGCCACCCAAATGCCCCTCAGCTGAAATGTTTTGATTTGCATTTTGTTTTCTTTTTACAGTATCTTTGAATGGAGTTGGGTTTTTTTTCTTTTTCCTATTTTTGGACATTTTGTGGACACAGTTCCAGAGCACCTTTTTCAGTATAGTGACTTGTAGTTTCTTTAAAGGTTGGTGATGTGTTTAGGAGTAGTGCTGTTGGAAAAGGGGAGGAGTCGGCACATCTTGTTGCTCTTTTGTTTCTGCAGGATCCTTAATTTTCTTTTCCTTTATTGCTGCATCAAAAGGCACCATTCTTTCCCTGTTTTCTTTTGATTCTCCCCCAGAATCAGAGCTTCTCGATTGCCACTTCTAGTCCCATTGAATTTTTTGTAAAGATTTTTTATTTATTTATGAGAGAAAGAGAGAGATTGAGCAAGCAAGTGGAGGAGCAGTGGGAGAGGGACAAGCAGACTCCTCACAAAGTGCGGAGCCCAACGCAGGGCTCGATCTCAGGACCCAAAGATCACAACCTATCCTAAAACCAAGAATCAGACACTTAACTAACTAAGCCACCCAAGCACCCCCATTGAATCTTTTCTTTAAAATATATTTTTAATTTATTTTCTAATTTTTTAAAAGTAGGCTTCCCACCCAGCGTGGAGCCCAGTGTGGGGCTTGAACTCACGACCCCGAGATCAACACCTGAGCTGAGATCAAGAGTTACTTAATTGACTGAGCCACCCAGGCACCCCAACTGAATCTTTTTTTTAAACAGCTTTACTAAAGTATACTTTTATTATATAATTCACCTATTTATTTTATTTATTTTTAGAAGATTTTATTTATTTATTTGACAGAGACATAGTGAGAGAGGGAACACAAGCAGAGGGAGTGGGAGAGGGAGGAGCAAGCTTCCCGCTGAGCAGGGATCCTGATGCGGGGCTCCGTCCCAGGACCCTGGGATCATGACCTGAGCCAAAGGCAGACGCTTAACAACTGAGCCACCCAGGCTCCCCTAATTCACCCATTTAAATTGTAAAATTGTAATTATATTGCCTTGTTTATTTCTAATCATATATAATAATATCCTAAGTGTGTACCATTGTGTCTGGTATGTATTAGACAGTCAGTAAGCATATTGAGTGAGTTTATAAGGGCTTTACTGAATAATAACTGTGCATGGTACCATGAGGGTTATTTAAGTTTAACATATTTACTCAATCTCAAAGAATTTATAGTTTATAATCACTGACCTTGCTTTGCTTCTTGAACAATTTATTTTCAGTTGGGCTTTGTAACAGTTTATCTACTTGATTTTCATCTACCCTTGTGGCTGCTTTTTGTCATAATCTTTGAAGGTTCCACTTCCTTTGGACATCTCTTCAATGTTCGCTTTTGTTTTTCTTTTTTGTGTGTTCTTCCCTGGCTACTTGAGTTCACTTCCATTGTTTCAGTTACCATCTATATTACTAGAAGTCTGTATCACTGTCCTAGATCTCTTTCCTGAGCCCCAGATCCACATGTTCAGTGGACTGCTGCCTATCTCCACTTGTATGGTTTATAGCCACTAACTGAATAAGTAAGTTATCATTTCCTCCTTACTCTGCTCCTTCTCCAGGATTTCGCAAATCAGTGTATGATATCAGCATCTCAACCGTTACCCATCATCCTTCCTCCAGAGCTAGTTAGGTATATATTACCTAAATTAAGTGTAACTCAAATCCTTCTACTTTTCTTCATCCTTAGTGTCATCGCTGAAGACCAGGTTGTGTTTACCTGGGCCATTACAACAACTTCCAATCTTGCTCTCTTCCAGTCCAGTCTCTCCAATGTAACCTCTAAAGTACATCTAGTCATCTCACTCCTAGCTTAAAATGTTTGCCTCATTCATTTCAGAAAATGGAATCATCAAAACAGATAAAGTATTTGAAGTAATGCTGGCCACAGACCGTTCCCACTATGCAAAATGTAATCCTTATATGGATTCTCCACAATCAATAGGTAAGGTCTGGATTTCTGAAAATGTCACATTTTTACTCATTTACTGTATAATTTTTGTTAAGTAAAAATGGACTGGGACAGAGATATTTATTATTACCTTGCTAGTTTGACTTTTATGCCTCAGTTAAGTATCATAATTCCAAACAGAGCCATTTCAATAAAATGATGTTATGTATTAAGTATCTTTTCTATTTTTTCAAACTGTGTATAATACATATGAAAAATATTTTAAACATTTTTCTTACAAAACATACTTTTAATGAAAATTTAAGTTTAAACTGAGAGCTTAGCTTTCTTTAAAACCTTAATGTTGAATGAAGTTGTTTTTCATATTAACATCAGTTTTTTAAATCAATATTAAAGGAAATAAGTGTAATTAAGTGGTTACTGACCTCTCTGCTTCACTTGCCCTGAATTTTTTGGTTTGTGCTTGGTTTTAGAAAGTTTGGTATTTAACTCCTTCTCCTGAAGCAGGTTTTGCTGAACTGCTGAGCCTTGGCAGTGGGCGCCTTTGAGGCTTAGAAGGGCCACAGGATTCTGTCAGCCAGCTGCCATGCTTTCTTCTTTTGAAGCACTATAACAGTCAGCAGAGAAGATCCTGGGGAGCTTCTGAACCCCGAAGGCACCTGCTACCACCGCTCAGTGAAAATTGCTTCAGATGCAGAAGCAGGTAAATAAGTTTTGAGAAAGCAACACTGGAAGAAAAAACTTGAAAGCTTAGAAACTAAGAAAAGATTGTGAATTACCATCAGGCGATAGTATAAAGAGTAAACTGAGGTAGTTTTTTAGTCTCTTAAGCTACTTTGATTGCCAGTTGCTCAATAAGTTGCCAGAAATAGGAGGCAATTTAATTTTCAGAAATTTTACATACCTATTATATATGGAAGTTTATTTTCTTTTTATAAACCTGGAGAGAAAACAAGTCATAAACTTATGAACTCAACTTCTTGACATTCTTTCTTAGCTAACTATATGGGAGAAGAAATTTTTAGAAATAGTGGGAGTGTTGTACTAGATGAGCATATTAGCCTTTGGCATGATTGTATGTTCTCATTATAACTGCTACTTGACAGTCCTCTAAAAAGCAAAATAAAAGTTTTATTTTCTTGAGATCATAAAAACGAGAAATATTATTATGAAAAAGAATTTGTGGCTGTTAGGAAAGGAGTTACATGGAGTATCTGGTATGTTTTTGCAGCTGAATGTGTCAGTAGTTCTCTTCTTCTTTTACAGGTTTCCAAGCAACAATCAGTGCTCCACACATGGTAAGTTAACTTTGGTCATTTGGATATAAATGGATCACATTTTTCCTCTAAGATCATTTTCTTTAGTAAAAAAGGTTTACAAAAGTTGAGCTTTTAATTAGATCAGTTTTATCATCTATGAGTTTTGTAGATTGGTAATGAACCTCTTATTCTTTATACATGATATATAGAGTGAAGTCTTCTTGGTAGAAACTGTCATTAAAGTTTTTGTTGGTTGTCATTAATATCTAATCCTGTAAAAATTGGATATAAAAGGTTATTTAGTAATGAGCAAATTAAGGAAGAGAATATTTTATTTTTTTAAGATTTTATTTATTTATTAGAGTAAGAGAAAGCACAAGCAGGGGGAGCGGCAGACAGAGAGAGAGAAGCAGGCTTCCCACTGAGCAGGGAGCCCGATGCAGGGCTCGATCCCAGGATCCTGGGATCATGACCTGAGCAGAAGGCAGACGCTTAACGACTGAGCCACCCAGGCGCCCCAAGGAAGAGAATATTTTATTTTATTTTTTAAAGATTTTATTTATTTTTATTTATTAGACACAGAGAGAGAGACAGAGAGAGAGCACAAGCAGGGGGAGCGGCAGGCAGAGGGAGAAGCAGACTCTCCGCCGAGCAAGGAGCCCGATGTGGGGCTTGATCCCAGGACCCTGGGATCATGGCCTGAGCCGAAGGTAGCCGCTTAACCGACTGAGCCACCCAGGGGCCCCAGGAAGAGAATATTTTAAATAATATAATGGATATATTGTAGAAATCTCAAGTTGAATATTATTTCTTTTATTTCATATCTTATTTGGAAAATTCATTACGGATTGGTCAAGTATAGCAGCTATGAAGCTGTATAACTGAGAAGGACCTATTCTAAGTTATCTAGCACTTTTAATCTGTTGGGAATTTTCTTGGGTTTTAAATGTCAGTTATTTGAATGAGTACTCTGTTGGTTTTTGGGGAGAAGAACAATAGCTTTTCTGATTCTCTGAAAGTATTTGGGATTAGAGAAGCTCTTATTTAAATGTAAAGCCTTCTGTATGTTAAAATAAATTTACATATATTTATGATGAACTGTTATACTAGATGAAATTATAGGAAAATTATTATTTATAAACATTAAATAGAAATGACTTGCAGCGCCTGGGTGGCTCAGTCGGCTCAGGTCATGATCCCAGGGTCCTGGGATCGAGCCCTGCATTGGGCTCCCTGCTCAGCAGGAAGCCTGCTTCTCCCTCTCCCACTCCCCCTGCTTGTGTTCCCTCTCTTGCTGTCTCTCTCTCTCTCTCTCTGTCAAATAAATAAATAAATAAAATCTTTAAAAAAAATACTTTATTTTTCAATTTTCAAATTTATTTTCAAAAGATTTATTTATTTTAGAGTGAGAGAACACAAGCTGGAGGGGGGGGGCAGACTCCCCGCTGAGTGTGGAGACGGATGTGGGGCTCAATCTCATGACCCTAAGATCATGACATGAACTGAAATCAAGAGTCAGATCCTTACCAACTTACCAACCACCCAGGTGCCCCTAGAAATGACTTTTTAAAACATGACAACAGATGAGCCATTAAAAAACATATATTTTGCAACATAAAAATTTTGGATTTCTGCAGAGAAAAAAATGTTATAAGCAAAATTAAAAGAAGAAAAACTGAGGAAAATATTTAGAATACATACAACAATCTAGGTCAAATTTCCATATACAAATGTGGGTGTGTATCCTGTAAATTAAGAAGTAAAAGACTGGTGAACCCAAAAGAATATAGTTAAAGTACCAGAATGATAGTTCATAGAAAAAGAAATAGAGATGACATTAGCACTTAAACAAATGAAAAGATGTCATTTTCATTTATATTTATATAGTTAGTAAATTATACATTAGCACTGTAGTGAAGTACCATTTTTCACCTATCAGATTGTCAGAGGTGAAAAAGTTTAATACTTTGTATTGGAAAGGGGAAACAGTTACATACTTTTTTGCTGAGAATAAATTGATAGTATTGGAAGGCAATTTGGCAAATTTATAAAATGTGAAATAAATATACCTTACATTCTTCACTTTTATTTCAAGGTATTTATCCTATGGTACATTTTTGTAGGTACAAAATGACTAAAGATGTTCATTGTCACATTATTTATAATAGCAAAAAAAAGTGATCACTGATAGTCCACTAATAGTGGATGGTTAATAATTATAGTATATCCATACAGTGAGATACTGGGAAGCTGTTAAATGAGGAATTTCTGTAAGTACCAGTATAGCAAGATGTTCAGGAAGCATTAAGTATAAAAGCAGAGTACAGAAGAGTATTTAGAGTATTCTGCAATATACAAAAATCAAATCTGCATGTATACATAGACACGTCTTCCTCTAGGCATGAAAACTAAAAATGATTTCTTCCAAGGTCAGAAGTAGATGATTGGAGGGATGGGAATGAAAGTGAGATCTGCTTTTCACTCTGTACCCTTTACATGTTACCAATTTCTTTCTGTTTTCTTCTTTTTTTTTTTAAAGTTTATTTATTTAAGTAATCTCTACACCCAATGTGAGGCTTGAACTCCCAACCCCAAAATCAAGAGCTGCATGCTTCTCCAACTGAGCCAGCCAGATGCCCCCTTCTTTGTTTTTTTTTAACCATGGAATAGGAATGGTTTCTTGTGTTTTTTTTTAATATTTACTTATTTAATTTAATTTATTTATTTTTAGAGATTTTATTTATTTGAGAGAGAGTGCACGAGCTAGCACAAGCCAGGGGAGAGGCAGAGGGAGAGGGAGAAGCAGACTCCCCCCTGAGCAGGGAGCCAGATGTGGGGCTCGATCCCAGGACCCTGGGATTATGACTTGAGCCGAAGGCAGACACTTAACTGACTGAGCCACCCAGGCACCCAAAAAGGATGCTTTTTTTTTTTTTAAGATTTTTGTAATTTATTTGACAGAGAGAGACACAGTGAGAGAGGGAACAGAAGCAGGGGGAGTGGGAGAGGGAGAAGCAGGCCTCCTGCTGAGCAGGGAGCCTGACACGGGGCTTGATCCCAGGACCCTGGGATCACGACCTGAGCTGAAGGCAGACGCTTAACGACTGAGCCATCCAGGCGGATGTGTTTTTAATCACTTATATATCCTTACCTCTGTCTCTTAATAAGGAAAATGTGTGTATTTATGTGTATGTATATAGTCACACAGTACATCTATATGTATGCCTGTATGTACAAACAGTAATAATACAGTGATAATACAGTGTCCTTTGATGCTTGCTGAACCAGGATGTGAGTAGAATAAAATAGTATTAATTGTATTATACAAACAAGCATTTGTGATTTAGTATCATTTATTGCATAGATCTTAGAAGTATTAAAAGAGAAACAAAGTGAGGAGCAAAGATAAATGACATCTCTGTTTAATGAACTTTAAAATCACAGACTTGCTTGGAAGTATCTACAATCCTGGAATATTTTCCAAAGTCTTAATTGAAAATGTGATATATGCATTGGGTAAGAGATTAAAAGCAACCTGTTAAAATGGCATCCTGGTAGCCGTGAGTACACATAGTATGCAGATATTGAATCCTAAATACCATTTCTCACTAAATGAGACTAGAGCTCCTTAGAAAAGTGACTGAATATTAGAAAGTGAGGAAGTGCTCAAAGGTTGATGGGGTGATGCTGGAAGGACATATGAGCAGGTTTGAAGAGATTCCCAGAGGCTATAGACAATTTGAAAATGGAAAAATGATAGATAATGAAGGTAATGGATTGTAACACTGTAAATTAAGAAACAAAAATCCAGGGTGCCTGTGTGGCTCAGTTGTAAGCGACTGCCTTCAGCTCAGGTCATGATCCTGGGGTCCTGGGATCAAGTCCCACATTGGGCTCTCCCTGCTCTGCGGGGAGCCTGCTTCTCCTTCTCCCTCTGCCTGCCACTCCCCTTGCTTATGCTCTCTCTCTCTCTGTCAGTAAATAAGTAAAATCTTTAAAAAAAGAAAAAAGAAACAAAAATCTATGAGTTCATAGAGATTAAAAAAAAGCAAGACGGAAAAAAAAAAGAAAAACAGAAGAATGCCAATTAATACATTTGGAGGGAAAAATAGAACTTTAAAAAAAATCACTGTTCTGTAATCATCAATATGATTGAATTGGGCAGAGATCATCAATTAATCTAAAACAATTTAGAGAAAGGTTATTGGGGAACAAAAATGTTCATGTAGTCTCAAATTCTTACTCTACATATTACTTATTAATTACTAAGAGAAAATTATGTCTTTGAAAAAGAGTGATCTAGTAGTTAACCATATTTACTGAGTGGTTGAGCTTGGCAAGTCCAGAGGTAAGGTGCCCAATATTATATGCTTCCTGATGTGATGCAATGGGAGGTGCCTAGCAAGCCATGTGTGCTGTTCTTGCTAAGTCTTGGATCTGAGTCTAACCTTGAGGAAATTCACACATCTAGAATATGGGGAATTATGTGGGACAGCCAGAGAGGACTCATTAAAGGAGTCAGTGTTTTGAAGAATGGAGAAGTGGTAGGTAGAGGAGAATTGAGGGGAGAATATTTTATATTGATAAATGCAGTGCATGAACCTTGAATGGACTGGGGAAAAAACAGCTGTAAAGGACATTTTGGGGACGGTTGAAATTTGAGTATGATGCGTATGTTAGATGATACTAAATTGATTATTTTCTTGAGTGTGTTAATGGTGATGTGGTTGCAAAGGGAGATGTCCTAGTTTTTTTAGCAGATTCATGCTGAAGTATTTTGGGGTGAAGTATTGTGATGTCTACAACCTATTTTCAGATGGTTTGGTAAAACAGTTGGCACAATATATAAAGTGGGTGACTGTATATAAGGAAAAAAATGGTATTCAATATATTTGTGGGTTTAAAATTTTTTATAATTATGAAAAAGAACTTTTAAAAAACTTAGTTTGAGGATTTAGAGATAAACATGGGTTATCCAAAAAAATATTAGCTAGAGTGATAAAAGCATTAAAAAAAGCTAATGATTGTGATTGAAGGCCTTGACATTTTAAATCTGAATAGGACTTTAATAATAACTCACCATGCTCCCCTTTTTAAAAAACTAAATCTTATGCAAACATAGTACTGAAAAAAATATTCCTGGGGTTTGTTTTGGAATTAAGATGGTCCAGAACTGCCTGTAGATTGGGGATTGGTACCTTAAAGAAGTCCTTTTTGTCCTTTGATTTCTGGGTCTGGAGATCCAGATATTGCAGAAGTTACTTTGTTTCTTTGATTACTTTCCTATTCTTCTAGTCCCATGCTTGTTACCCTATTAGTAGAAATCATTAAACCTCATAACTGATTATTGTAAGAGTCTGATGAAAGCTACTTCTGATGTTTAATCCAGAACTCTTTTTCATGGCATGAATGTTTTTCACTCTTTAGGCAAGAGCCTCTTTTGAAAAGCAATCTATATGAAAAATTGATAAAGTTAGTTCTCTATTACTCTTTTCCCAGAACACACCCATCCTCAGTGTATATTTGTGTGTTATCCCTAATGGGCTTTTGTGGAACCTTAATGACTTTCTGGAACACTGTTTGAAAACCCTTGGATTGTGTGGTTTTATCTCTTAAAGGCCTTTATTACATTAGTTGTGGAATAGTAGCCTTAGCTTTTTCTTTTTTAACTTTTTAATATGGAAAGTTTCCAACACCACATATACAAATAGGATAATATAATGAACTCTCGTGTAGCCATCATCACCTTTAATAATTACCCAGTTTGTTAATCTTGTTTTATCTTTGTCTTCCTCTTGCTGAACTATTTAAAAACAAATCTCAAACATAATATTATTCACCCCTAAATATTTAAGTATAAATCTGATGACTTTAAAAACATGACTACAATACTGTATCATACCTAACAGTGTTCCTTAGTATGTTATTACCTTACACATAGTCCATGCTCAGACTGTACCAGGTGTTTCAAAAAAATTGTTTTATGGTTGTTTGCTTAAATCAGGATCCAAACAAGGTCCAGACATTGCATCTTTTTAGTCTTTTTCAGTCTTTTTAGTACCTTTTAATTTTAAAAGACCTCTTTCTTTTTTTAAATACCACTTATTTATTGACAAAACTCATCCATTTGGGGGCGCTTGGGTGGCGCAGTCGAGTGTCGAACTCTTGGTTTTGGCTCAGGTCCTGATCTCAGGGTTGTGAGATTGAGCCCTGCGTTGGGCTCCACATTCAGTGCAGTGTCTGCTTAAGTTTCTCTTTCCCTCTCCCTCTGCCCCTCCCCTCTGCTCTATCCCTCCCTCTCCCTCTCTTTCCCTCTCTCGATAAGTTCTTAAAAAAAAAAAAAAAACCCTATCCATTTGTCCTGTAGAATTTCCCATATTCTAAATTTGGTTAATTGTTTCCTAGTGGTATTTAACCTATTCCCCCCACCCCGACACACACACCTTCCCCCCCCCCTTTTCCTTTTCAAGAACACTGCCCAATGATTTTTTCTGTTCTGTCACATCAGGGGTACATGAAATCTGATCATGCACTTTTAGTGATTGGAATACATAGTCTTTTCAATAACTTTTTTTAAAGATTTTATTTATCCATTTGAAAGAGAGAGAGCGAGAGCAGGGGGAGAAACAGAGGGAGAGAGACAAGCAGACTCCACGCTGAGTGTGGAGCCTGACGTGGGCCTCAATCCCAGGACCCTGAGATCATGACTTGAGCTGAATCCAAGAATTGGACGCTTAACCAACTGTACCATATAAAACTCAATAATATTATACACGCTTGGTAAGGTACACAAATCTTAAGTGTATAGCTTAATGAATGTTCACATATGTATACGTGTAACCGCCACCTAGATGAAGATCAGAATGTTTCCTATGTCCTAGCAGGCTCTCTCATGCCAGTTTCTTAGCCTTTACCCTCTATGTAACCAGTATTTTGGCTTTGGTCACCTAAATTAGTTTTCTAAATAGGGAGTTTCCAATATATCCTCCATTTTGAACATTACCTGTTTCTGATGCTTAAATTTTTTTTTCTTTTTAAAGATTTTATTTATTCTAGAGAGAGAATGGAGGGGAGGGACAAACAGACTCCATGCTGAGCGTGGAGCCCCATGTGGGGCCAATCCCATGACCCTGAGATCATGACCTGAGTCAAAACCTAGAGTCAGACATTTAACAGACTGAGCCATCCAGGCGCCCCTCTGATGATTTTTTTTTTAAGATTTTATTTATTTATTTGAAAGAGAGAGAATGAGATAGAGAGGGAGCATCGGGGGGAGGGGAAGAGGGAGAAGCAGACTCCTTGCTGAGCAAGGAGCCCATGTGGGACTCAATCCTGGGACTCCAGGATCATGAACTGAGCTGAAGGCAGTCACTTAACTAACTGAGCCACCCAGGTGCCCCCCTCTGATGATTTTTAATAATGAACATAGCAGGCATTTAAGGACAGCTTTTGAGATAACATTTATTAGTTCTAATCACATATTTTGGAAAAGCATGGAAACATAAGTTTATAAAGAGGGAGTAGAAAAGGCTTTATTTCTTGGTTTGGTCCATAGTGTATCCAATATGATTTTATTTGATTAATTTATATATACTGTAAACATAAAACTATATATCCTTTGCCCCCCCCAATTCTACTTCTAGGAATTTATCCTATAGGTACACTTTATAAGATTTTTTTTTCAAGATTTCATTTATTTTTTTATTTTAGAGAGAGAGAGCATTAGTGGGGGAAGGGGCAGAGGGAGAGAATATCCAAGCCGACTCCGCTGAGTGCGGAGCTGGATGTGGGGCTCGATTTCATGACCCATGAGATCAGGACCTGAGCCAAAACCAAGAGTCAGATGCTTAACTGACTGAGCTACCCAAGGTACCCCACTTTAAAAGATTTTTATAAAGATTATTATATTATCCTACACATATACCTTTTAAGATTATTTCATATCTTCTGTTATAGAAGATTGGAGCTAACTTAAAAATCCCTCATTAGGGATTTTTTTGGGGGGGAGTTTTTGTTATTATAATATACATATAAGAATATACTTCTCAGCCATAAAAAGGAATGAACAGGCTATTTAAGTATTGATAAGAAAGGTTCTTCAAGGGGCGCCTGGGTGGCTCAGTCGTTAAGCGTCTGCCTTCGGCTCAGGTCTTGATCCCAGGGTCCTGGGATCGAGCCCAGCATCAGGCACCCTGCTCTGTGGGAAGCCTGCTTCTCCTTCTCCCACTCCCCCTGCTTGTGTTCCCTCTTGCTGTGTCTCTCTCTGTCAAATTAAAAAAAAAAAGGTTCTTCAAGATATAATAAATGAAAAAATAGATACATATTTGCTTGTATATGCATAGAATGGATATGTTTGAAAAGAATCACAAGAAACTGACAACATAGATTGCCTTTAGGGAGTGAAATTGGTTGGGGATGGGGAAGGTTACAGACGGGTGGGGTAGAGACTTCACTGTAAATCCTTCTGTAGCTTTTGACTTTGAAATAATTAAAATTAAAAAATTCACACTGGAGATCTAAAATTACTAAAACATTTTATATAAATATAAGAATTTAGTCTGAAATTTTCTTACATAATTCTGTAAATGTAAGTATATAATATGTTGTGTTTTCATTATGTTGGTAGATGACAATTGTAGAAAAATTGGGGGATGCCTGGGTGGCTTAGTCGTTAAGCATCTGCCTTCGGCTCAGGTAATGATTCTGGGGTTGAGTCCCGCATTGGGCTCCTTGCTCCACAGGAAGCCTGCTTCTCCCTCCCCCACTCCCCCTGCTTGTGTTCCCTCTCTCGCTGTGTCTTTCTCTGTCAAATAAATAAATAAAAATCTTAAAAAAAAAGAAAAATTGGTAGGAAGTTGGCAACTTTATTTGTATGCCATGGTATATATACTTTATAGAGTCTTGAAAAAAAATTAATATTTGCTTTGTTTTCTTTTGGCAGCATGCATACGCACTAGAACTTCTATTTGATCAATTGCATGAAGGAGCTAAAGCTCTCGACGTAGGATCTGGAAGTGGAATCCTTACTGCATGTTTTGCACGTATGGTAAGAGCTTTCTTTTTCATTCTGTTCCAGCAGCAGCATATTATATATTTGGCTGTACATTTTTTTACTAGCAGTTTTTGAGGTTTTTGTTTTTAATTCTAATATAGCAGTTGGAATATGTATCACTTAGGTTTTTTTGCTGTTGCAAATAATAGAAGATTTGGTCCAAATTGGCAGAGTAAAAGGGAATTTATTTGGCTTATATAATGGAAAAGTCTAAAGTATATCTGGCTTTTTGTGTGGCTGGATTCAAAAGAAGATCAGATGTTGTTATTGACAATGGGTTTCTCTTTGGTTCTTGGTTTGGTTTTGCTTTCCTCCAAATGTTGGCTTCAGTCAGGCTCTTCCTTTGTGATCGCAGGATGGCAACCACTAGCTTCCAGACTGCATTCTTTCAAATTTGCAGCTGGTAGAAAATGATATAGAGAATCTGATTTCCAAACACTACTCCAGGGTTATTAGAAATGAGAATAGGGCGCCTGGGTGGCTTAGTCGTTAAGCATCTGCCTTTGGCTCGGCTCATGATTCCGGGGTCCTGGGATCAAGCCCCGCATCGGGCTCCCTCCTTGGGGGGAAGTCTGCCTCTCCCTCTCCCACTCACCCTGCTTGTGTTCCTGCTCTCGCAGTCTCTGTCTCTGTCAAATAAATAAAAAAAAATCTTAAAAAAAAAAAAGAAATGAGAGTAGAGCGTCTTTTATATTAAGAAAAACTCTTAGAAAAATACCTTGTTTATTATACTTCATGTTTTATCACCAGAGGCTTATCTTCGTTAGTGACTATCCAGGGTCTGGCTGGAGGCCTACTCAGGCACTTTGAGTAAAGGTTTATCTGTGCTCAGATAATCAAATCAATTTGATTATTATGAAAAATCTTGTCCCTGAGGGCCAGATAGGAAGGTTCTGGTCTAGTTAGGTTAGGATTCATGGATGATGCATCTTGGACTAGAATCCATCTAACTTGCTGTAAATATGTAAGTGGCAGACCACTAGCTTGTAAGCTCCAGAGAGGCGGGAATTTTAATTTTTTTTCCTTTGATGTATCCTAAGCATCCACAACAGTGCTTGTGAAATAATGACTCAGGTATTTCTTTTCAGTTGTTTTACTTGTTTTGTAGAAGTTAAGCCTTCCCTAATGGAATGTCAGGATTTTTTTTTTTAAGATTTTATTTATTTGAGAGAGAGCGTGTGCTAGAAAGAAAGAACACGAGATAGAGAGAGAGAGAAAGAGAGAGTATGAGCAGGGGGAGGGGCAGAGAGAGGGAGACCCCTGGACCCAGGGATCATGACCTGAGCCAAAGGCAGACATTTAACCAACTGAGCCACCCACACACCCTAGGATTTTTTTTTTTTTAAGTTTAGACACAGTATTTACTTAATGACATGTTCTTGATATTTGACGTATTTATGGTTTTAGAGAAAAATACATTTTTTAAAAAATTATTAGATTTCTGAATTATCTTTTTAAAAGTAGTGTTAATTTAATGTCTTTCACATATTTACCATGTGCTAGTTAGTGTTCTAAGTGCTTTTCGTGTATTCTTTTATTTAATTCTCACATCATTTATGAGGTACGTACCCTTTTCCTCATCATTTTACAGTTGAGGAACCTAATTCATAGAATAACTTGCCAGGGTTGTACAGTTGTAAGTAAGTGATGAAGGCTAGATGTGAACCCAGGTTGTCTGACTTCAGTCTTTATTTTGCTAAATTTATTTTACAATTAGTATTTATACTTGGGGCCTTTTTATACTTTTATGTATTTTATATTTTCCGCATATGGCAGTAGAATCAGGTGTAGAAATCCCTATAGAATTTTTTATGTAACATTTTAATGTTTAAAGTCACACTTCTGGTGGAATTTAAATTAAAAATGATTGCACCAACTACCATTTAATATTAAGTGCAGTTTAAGTATTTAATATTAATTTATTAAACATTTTTATTATTAAGTATTTAATATTAATATTAAGCATTTAATATTAGTTAAGCAGTTAAGTCTTATTTCAGGGTTTGGGGTTTAAAAATTAGAAATTGAAGAAAAAGGATTTTTTTTTTAGTATTGCAAGTTTCTGTAATTCTAGCTTCTTAATTCCTGAAACGTAATTATCCTTTTGAGGATTATAGCGGAAAAAGTTGTATTTGGTAAATATTTTATAGTAAACTGAATAACAATCAAATTGGAGGCTTGAGCTGTTTGTCTTCATTTCACATTGCAAAATATATGACTTTAGGTGAGGAAACACTTTAATGACACTTCAGAAAGACAAATTTAGGGCAGTGAGCTATTGAATTATTCCCTTATTTCCAGGTTGGCTCTAGTGGAAAAGTTATAGGAATTGACCATATTAAAGAGCTAGTAGATGACTCAATAAATAATGTCAAAAAGGACGATCCAGTGCTTTTGTCTTCAGGAAGAGTGCAACTGGTTGGTGAGTATCAGAAAACTTTAAAAATTTCCTCTTTGGAGAATTTTTATTTTCAGAAGATCCCATGCAAGCTAAATAATACTCAAGCTAATTTTTGCTTTTTTTTAAAACATTCGCTTTTAAATACTAGGTAAGGAAAACAGTTACTGTAAAATGTTATGCTGGTTCTACCTTGACCATGGTGGTGATACATGACTGTTAACTATTTCAGAAAATGCTCATGTTGTAAATTCTTTCTTCATTACTTTTACTACTAATAGCAAAGTAGCAAGTGTCCATTATGAAAAATTTAAAGTGCAGAAATGTGTAAGATAAAAAAGAAACCCCTCCTTTTCTGTCTTAAGTTTTCTAGACATATAAATTATATATATGAATAAATATACATATACACACTTTTTTTTAATTGACTCATATATTCTGTCATTTAGTTTGCTTTTTTCAGCAGTATATAGTGAACATATTTCTGTGTGAGCACACTGTACTATTATGAGAAGTAACAAACATTAAAACATGCATAAAGCATAACTGGGATTAGCAAAAATAACCTGCTTCATCATCACACTGATCTAGAAAGGAAACAACATTGGTAGCTTGGATGTCTTCTGCTTGCTTTTCCCTCCTCAGAACTCTTTCCCTTCTCCTTAGTCCTGACCAACATCATTACTTTTATGCATTTACTACTTAGCTGCACTTCCATAAACGATGCTCAATTTAATTTTGAACTTTAGATAAACAGAATCATACAGTATATATTCTGTGATGATTTATTTCTTTCATTCAATATTATGTTTGTAAGAGTCACCCATCTTTTATATATAATTTTTATTGCTTGCTGTATAACATTGTACTGTAAGGACATTGCCAAAATTTGTTTATTCTACTGTAGGTGGATATTTTGGGTTGTTTCTAATTTGGGGATGTTCACAATGCTGCCGTGAACATATGTGTACAAAGGTCCAAATGCATATATACACTCATCATACAAGCATTCATTTATGTAGAGTATTATTACAGGTTCATAGGGTAACCATAGATATCCAAAACTTTTTAAAAGTGATTGAACCAGTTTACATTCCCATCAGCAATGTATCAGTGTTCTTAGTGCTCTATGTCTTATCAACACTTGGTATTGTTAGATTTTTCTTTTTACCCACTTAGTGTATAGCAGTAAGTCTTTGTAATTTTAATTTTGTATTTTCCTCCTAACCGATGAGGTCGAACACTGTTTCATATGTTTGACCATTTGGATGTCTTCCTTTGTGAAATGTCTTGTTAAGATAGTAGTTGTTTATATTTTTCTTTGATATGTAGGACCTCTATAGATTAGCCTGTCTATTTATACATATTAGAAATCTTTTCTCCTGCTCTTTGGCATGCTTTTTCACTCATATTGGTGCTTTCTTGATTAATAGAAATACTTAATTTTATTTTTTTTAAGATTTTATTTATTTTTTTACATGAGAGAGAGAGCGCGAGCAGGGGGAGGGACAGAGGGAGAAGCAGACTCGCCAATGAGCAGGGAGCCAGATGTGGGGCTCCATCCCAGGACTCTGGAATCATGACTTGAGCTGAAGGCAGATGCTTAATCGGCTGAGCCACCTAGGCACCCCAATAGAAATACTTAATTTTATTTATCTATTTATTTATTTATTTTAAAAGATTTTATTTATTTATCTGATAGAGAGAGAGAGTACAAGCAGGGTTTGGGGTTTAAAAATTAGAAATTGCAGGGGAAATAGCAGGCAGAGGGAAAGGGAGAAGCAGGCTCCCACTGAGGAAGGAGCCTGATACGGGGCTTGATCCCAGGACTCTGGGATCATGACCAGAGTCGAAGGCAGTCACTTAACCAACTGAGCCACCCAGGTGCCCCAGAAATATTTAATTTTAATGTGTCAGACTTAGTAGCTCTTTCCAGTGTTTTCTGTGTCCTTTTTTTTTTTTTTTAATTTATTTCTCCTAGAGAGAGAGTGAGCACGAGTGGGAGGGGCAGAAAGAGAGGGAAACAGAATCTAAAGCAGACTCCTGTTGAGTGCAGAGCCCAATGCAGGGCCCCACCTCATGACCCCAAGATCACAACCCTAAGATCACGACCTGACCCGAAACCGAGTCGGATGCTCAACTGCCTATGCCACCCAGGCTCCCCTTCTTCTGTATCTTCTTTAAGACTACTTTAAAATTGGGATGCCTGGGTGGCTCAGTGGGTTAAGTGTCTGCCTTCGGCTCAGGTCACGATCTCCAGGTCCTGGGATTGAGTTCCTCATCGGGCTCCCTGCTCAGCAGGAAACCTGCTTCCCCCCCTGCCTGCCGCTACCCCTGCTTGTGTGCTCTCTCTCTTTCTGACAAAAAAATGAATAAAAATCTTTAAAAAAAAAAAAAAAGACTACTCTAAAATCATGAAGATATATCCCCGTGTTATTTCTCAGAAGCATTATTTTAGCTTTTCACTTAGATCTTTGATCTGACATTGATTCTTGTGTATGTAAGAGATAGGTTCAAGTGTATATTTTTTCCATATGAATATCCAGTTGTCCCAGCATCATTTATTAAAAGTCTCTCTTTGCTTTGTTTTAAACCTCCTATAATTCTTTACACTGGGTAGTTCTATCTGAGCAGATTTTTAAGGCATAATTTTTTTTTCTTTCAGTGGGGGATGGAAGAATGGGATATGCCGAAGAAGCCCCTTATGATGCTATTCACGTAGGAGCTGCAGCCCCAGTTGTGCCCCAGGCAGTGAGTTGGGTTTTTCTCCTGTGTTTTTGTGCTTTAGTCAACTAAAGCTGTAAAAGACTTATAGAGAAATGACTTCTGGATGATCAAAACATAATTAGACTTTTGTGTCATGCATTTTAATTACACTTAGTAGGCATTTTTTTTCATATAAATGAGTTATATAAATGACTTGGAAAATTACTAATAGTTCGTGGCTGTCTTATTTGAAACTGCATTTGATCCATCTAAGAACGAGTATGCCAGTAGAATTAGGAAAATCTGTCTGGAGTTCACGAGCTGATAATCACTTGGTGTTTTACTAAATACCAGAATGTGCAAGATTGCTAAGTGCATGGGTGAGACCAAGGAGGTATTTGTCATACATTTTACCCTCACAAAGCTTATATTCTGGAAGAAATGTGTCCTACATATAACAGGGAAATTAATGCTATGATAGTATATCATTAGCATATAATATATATTGAAGGAAAAAGAAAACATGTACTACTGTAAGAGTTCAAGGGAGGGAGAGAACTTTATGTGGAACAGTTAAGGAGACTACATACAAGAATGGAATTGGAACTGAATCTGGAAGAACAGTAGGGTTTGCATAGTTATAGCGAGATGGAAGGATATTCCAGTATTGTATAGTACATAATCAAGGAAATACTTAAGTACAAAATTGGTTTTTTGTTTTTAAAAAAAATTTTTTTTATTTTAGAGAGAGAGCGCTACAAGTGGGGGGAGGGGCAGAGGGAGAAACTCAAGCCGACTCTGAGCTGAGTGCAGAGCCCGACTTGGGCTTGATCCCAAGATCCTGAGATCATGACCTGAGCCAAAGTCAAGAGTCGAATGCTTAACTAAGTCACCCAGGTACCCCCAATATTGGTTTTCTATTTCAGTAAGACTGATGAGCTTCTGTCAGCCCTTAATAATCCTCGGTTAAGTTCACTGAGATGTTAGGTTTCTATGGTGTCTGAGTTTTCCACAGTCTGGACTAGATGACTAGGGGCTGAGAGTGACACTTCTGCCCAGTCTCAGCCACTCCCCAGTCTGGAAGGGTTCTGTTTTGTATGTTTAGATCAGTTAATGAGAGGCTGAAAGTTAGGGAACTTGTTCTGGTCATTGACTTCCTGTTTATTGACTGAATGACTTTGAGAAAATTACTTATTTTCTCTGGTGCTGTTACCTGTTTTTGTTGTTTGTTTTTTTAAACTAAACCAGTGGCTTTAACACATTTTCATTGAAGGGTTGATATGCTGTAGAGGGAATGCCTAACTGGCTCAGTAAAGCATGCAAATCTTGATCTTGGGGTCATGAGTTTGAACCCCATGTGTGGAGTAGAGTTTACTTCAAATTAAAAACATATATGCGGGCGCCTGGGTGGCTCAGTCATTAAGCGTCTGCCTTCGGCTCGGGTCATGATCCTGGGGTCCTGGGATCAAGCCCCGCATCCGGCTCCTGCTCAGCGGGAAGCCTGCTTCTCCCTCTCCCACTTCCCCTGCTTGTGTTCCCTCTCTCGCCGTCTGTCTGTCAAATAAATAAATAAAATCTTTAAAAAAATAAAAACTAAAACCATATATGCTGTAGAAAGATGTACAAGTCATAAATGAATAGCTCAATGAATGTTCACATATAGACACATGATCCATAGGTTTTTAACTTTTTTTTTTTTTTTTAATGCAGCCTAGTAGGAACAATTAAAATGTGAAATAGAACTGTGTTTAAATGAAGGGTCTGGGGCGCAGGGCTTATCTTCTCCCACTAAGTCTCTGAGATGATCTTGAAGGGAATTTCTGGCTTTAGCTCAGTATGAATTTAAAAATTATTTATTTTAGAGAAAGAGCATGCACACAGGGGGTGGGGCAGAGGGAGAGAAGCAAACTCCCCACTGACCCCACTGACCTGCTGAGCATGGAGCCCAACACAGGGCTCAAGCTCACGACCCTGAGATCACAACCTGAGCTGAAATCAAGAGTCAGATGCCTAACTGACTGGGCTACCCAGGCATCCCTAGCTCAGTAGGAATTTACATGTGATTGAAGAGAGACATGCTGAAGGGAGGGGCCTTCCAGTTTTAAGATAACAGAAAAGATGTTTATGCCTCCTTTTGTATATCACCCCCAAACAGCTAGAAAAGCAGGAAACAGAAACACAAACTCCATATTTCTTTATCTTGGAGATTATACCAGCGCTCCTGAACCCTGTGGTATATGCAGATGGAAAGTGGATGGAATAATAACTGACTTCAGATGGCGGAGGAAGTTGAACCAAAGAGCCTGCAGAGGGGATCATTGCAGAAGCAGTTTGCTTGGCACAACTTGGAAAGGGCTTAGAAATCGGAGGCATGAGGATCTTGGAAGTCAGAGATGAAGCATAGGTCTGACAAGAGGGGCTGATGCTTGAAATTCTGTATGAGGAACAATTAGTGCTAAGCCTTAGGCAAGAAAATTTCCAAGAACCAAAGGACATGATTCTATAGTTTGAAAAGATCTATTGAGTGCCCAGTATGATGAATTTTTTCTAAAAAGAGAGGGAAAAAAAAGGAAACATAATATCACCATAAAATTGTAGAATATTAGGGATAAAGAGAAGATTCTAGAAGCTTCCAGAACAACAAATCATAATCTGTTAAGGATTGGTAATCAGAAAGGCATCACACTGCAGAATAGCAGCATTAGAATCAACAAGTCAGAGTAACAAACCCTCACAGTTCTGAACTGAAAATGATTTCCAACCTTGAATTCTGTACCCACACATATTGTCAAGTATGTAAAATAGTTTTAGACTTGCAAATTTTAGTCTCTCTCTTTTAAAATACTCCATGCACTGTTTCACAGAATACTTCTAGAGGAATTGCTTTAATGTCAAAAAATGAGGGAGGAGAGAGATGGTAGGAAGAACCAGAAAGAGGAAACCCTGAGATCTAGGCAGGTAGAACAGCTGGTTCAGGAGAGAGATGATGAGAGTCCCCAATATTCCCAGGGAACTCTTCCCTGACGAGAGCTGTGCAGCCGGCCTGGGGATTAAGCAGTCCAGATTTGGGGCAGGAGGAGGAAGGCACTCGAAGGGAGGCTACCAAACAAAAACAGAACACTAATTAGATAGGTTTGACTGGAGATCTTATTGAGAGGTTGTTGGAGGGTACGAATATTTAGAAAACAGTTGCAAAGAAAATTAAGTGAATGAAAAAAGAAAGCTTAAGGTTCTTTTTTTTTTATTTTTTATTTATTTATTTTTTAATTAAGAATCTCTACATGCAATATGGGGCTCGAACTCACAGCTCCAAGATCAAGAGTCGTGCTCTTCTAACTGAGCCAGCCAGGTGCCCTGAAAGAGCTTCAGTTTCTAAGTGCAGGATAAACAACTGTTGTATAAGAAAGGAAACAAGCATTGGCTACCTCTTGGCTCAGCTGCAAATTATGTTTACAGTCATAACTGAAAATGGTTTTAAAAAATTATGATATTGGTTGGATTGAAGAAGAGAGGAAAGGAGCAGAATGAGAGATCAGGCCCCATCTAGCATATAATTTGAAATAAGAACCGCAAAGACGCTACAGCATAGTCACTGTAGTTAACGACACTGTATTGTATATTTGACAGTTGCTGAGTGAGTAGGTCTTAAAAGTGCTCTTCATCACAAAGAAAAAATTGTAACTGTGTGGTGATGGAAGTTAATTAAACTTGTTGTGGTAATCGTTTTGCAGTATATACATATTATCAAACTACTATGTTGTACACCTAAAACTAATATAATGTTATATGTCAATTACATTTTAACGAAAAGCATAAAAGACATGCTTTAGAAATAATCACTACCAAAAAAGTAAATACTAGACAACACAGCTAAGAGCACTTAAAATACTTAAAATGACTGGATTTAGGGAGCAAGATTGGAGTAGGGGCAAGTCTGCTTCATTTTATCATAAACCTTGACATTTAGAGAAACAACTCAAAGAATACTTGCAAGAATTACTTGAATAAAGATTAAAGTGGGAAAAATAAGATAGGCTTGCTGACAACTGCAATTTTGAGGACCCACTTTTCTGGGATAATCTATCCAAAGTAAAGTTTCTCCCTTACAGTTTTTGATTAGTAGTCATTTGTAAGGCCACATTCAAATGGTAACATGTGACTTAAAAGTTTTCTGACTGGAAGGGCTTTCACTGAGTAGTCTTGGTTTTTCATTGATAAGGGTGTCTTACATTCTAATGCTGCAGGACTCCAGCCCTACCTTCCTTTGTCATGGTGCGAGCAATCCTAAATTCAGTCATAAAACTGAGGTTCCCTTATTTTTTTGGCTCAGTGATGCCCTAAATTCTACAGTGACAGGGTAGGGACTCCTTACTGATTTTCTGCACTCCCCTGCTCCCTTCTCTGCTCCAAACCACACAGATTTAGAACAGTATACAGGCATTGAAATGTTCTGCTTTGCCTTTGGTCTTCCCAAGAGGATAGCTCTACATTATGTGGTTCAGTTCATTTTGAGCCCTGCAGTTGTACCATATGGGTACTATGTTAGGTGCCCAGCGCACAAAGATGAATAAGATCACAGTCCCTCTCATCAAAGAACTTGTAGTTTAGTAGAGGAGGTCGATCGGTAAATGGTTAAGTGGTGATTGAGTAATAAGTTTAACAATCAAAGTATGTATATACTAAATAAAGTGCATTTCTGCTTTCTGCCCATGGACACTGGCAAGTTGTGGTGATGTAAAATGACTCTTAATATAAAATCTGTAACTTGGTGTGTATGTCTTTTTCTTTTTCTTTTTAGCTGATAGACCAGTTAAAGCCTGGTGGGAGATTGATATTGCCAGTTGGTCCCGCAGGTGGAAACCAGATGTTGGAGCAGTATGACAAGCTACAGGATGGCAGTGTCAAGATGAAACCCCTGATGGGAGTGATATACGTGCCTTTAACAGATAAAGAGAAGCAGTGGTCCAGGTGGAAGTGATTTTATCTTCTGCTCTTTCTTCTTCCACACATGCAAGGTGAAGGGTGTGGATTCTAAGACATTAGACCACAAGAGCTGCTTTTTTTGGTTGTCACCTTTATGCTACTCCATTTTAACATCAGAAATTCACTACATTAAAAATCTAGAAAAATTTTGCATGAGTCTGCCCTTCTTTTGGTTTAACTCATATCTTTGGGAAAGGGGGGTGAGACTTGGTTGGCACAAAGGTGGTTTTGTTTTTTCTTCCTTTTTTTAAAAAGAGGCTTTTAGCCACAGTTCAGAACTTTCTAAGGATACTTATTATCAGCCATTCTGTTTCTGTATTCACAAATCATTTTTGTAGCTGCTTTATGGTCATGGAAAGAAAGACTTTGGTCCGAAGAGAAGGGGCCATCCTTTGCCCCGTTCACACCCTGTGTGTATACCATTGTTACAAAGAGAAAGAAGGGAAAAGTTACTCTTGCCCCAGTTTTCAAAGGTGTCAGAATCCCAGAGAGGACATTTTTCCTCTCAGCTTGCTTTCTGTCTTTCAGTCAGGTTCACTGACATTCTAATAACCTGGGCCTGTTTTACTTATATTCAGCTACTGTTTCAGAACCACTATAAGGAATAAACTTCTCGCCAGTCTATAGAACTGGCCAGCCCATGTTGAAGCCACCCTAAGTTCCTGGGGAGGGGAGTGGATTCTGCGAGCTCAAAGTGAATGCAGTGCCCAGGTCTCACAAACCCGCCCAAAGGGCCAACAGCATGCAGCATAATCCTCAGTACAGCATGGCTCATTAGAATGCCTACTTGTGTTTTATGTCTCAGCATAATCCGAGTATTTTGTCTGAAGCCAAGGTTTCTCTTCTTCCTCTCTCCTTCTCCCTTTCCCTCCCCATGTCCTTCAGTGGGAAGGAGTGAGATCAAGAAGTAAGAATGACACTAGCTAAGATGACTTAAAATTAAATGTCAAAATAAGAAAGACTATGCAAGTTTCCTTGTTTTAGAATCTTTTTTTATTTGACAGAGGTACTTATTTTAAGATGATTATTTTTTTACTAAGTAAAGTGGTGATTATAAGTTTAATAGACCTCTTAATTTTGTTTTTTTGGAAGGAGGAAAGATACCATTTGAATGAATGTTTAATTGCAAAAATGGTAATGAATCTCAGTTTTTCTTTTTATTCTGATTGTCCATTTCTGAGATATGTTATTAGGAATTGCTTTATTCTTCACTTAATGTGGACATAGCTATTTTCTTTGAATTCTAACCTGGAGCACAGCCACTTAAAAAAAAAATTAAAAAGCTATGAGTCCTGTCAGTTAAAATCATATAGTTATTAACAACTAATTACAATCTTCCTTGACTTTGCTTCTAGTATGGTTCTGTTGTTATGTAATTGTATAGTTGCTGTTGTGTAAAAGGGGCAAACATACACTGAACTTACCGAAATTTGGTATCAAGTAAGAGTTCAGATTTTCATTAGTAAGTTTAAAACTTTTCTTTTTATATACAATAAATATTAGTATTGAACATTCCACTGTAGTTTGATGATGAAGGAATTACAAAAAGGTATTTTGTTTTTATAACCAGAGGTGGATTTAGCATGAAGCAAACGAAACCTAAGCCTCATGGCCTTCACATGTTTGGGGGCCTTCCTGGCCTTACACCTAATATTATATGCAGTCTTGTTTTCAGTCCTCTTTTTTTTCCCTTCATGAAGAGGTTCTCCCCCCTTACCAGGTCATACAAGCTCTATGTTTCCACAACACCTATATTCACCCCTTGTAAAACAAAATTATTTGTATTAAATTTAGAATACTTTTTAAATTTATGGACAAGTCATTTACCAAATATATTTAGTCATTTACCAAATATTTAAATATATATACTTGTTTTTCTTTTTGGTTTTCAACTTTTTACAATTTTACACATACGTATCACTGGAAACTTTTCTCTAGTTGTACCAGGAGGACTTCCTAATTCTTCCTGTTGTCAATTTTCTGTTTGTTCAAACACATTTTCCTACATCCAAAGATGTAGTGGGTCTTTTTTGTGTTGTTTTGTTTTATTTTAAGTAAGCTCTGTGCCCAGTGTGGGGCTTGGACTCATGACCCTGAGATCAAGAGTTGCCTGCTCTACCACCTGAGCCAGCCAGGTGCCCCCAGAGATAGTTACTCAGATGTAAATCTTTAAGTTTAAAGAATATAGGTTTAAAGAATGTAAAGGTGAAACAAAATCTGAAAACAAAATTGGAAAAAACAACTGCCATATTAAATTGTCTTTGTACTGAAAGAAATTACTAGAAAATAGGATGTTTGAAAACAACAGTTAACTTAAAAATCTAAAGAGACCATTAATCTGCTATTTCTATTTGTATTCTTAAACTCTCAGTCAGGGTCCAGAACAGAAAGTATGCTCAGCTAGGATTTTAAAGTGATTTTAGTGAAAGGACTCTTCAAAGAAATATGGGAATGGTTATGGAAATCCGGAAAAGACGTTGACATACCCAGGTACCAGTGTCCTACCATGATAGGCCATAAGGGGAGGAAACGGTTTTACTGGAACCCACTGAGAGCAGGGACTGTACTAGGGCCATGGAAACATAGCTGAGAATTTGAAACTGACCATTCTCATGGAACTTACAGTCACATGGGAGATCCAAAAAAATCTGAAGAAGACAAACAGGCAATTAGAGTATAGTGTGTTTAGTAGGGAGCAGTTGTGTTGAAGCCAGACAGTGAAGTAATCAGAATTACATTCCAGAAAGATGACTCTGGCTGTGGTGTAGAGAGTAGATTGGAAAGGAACAGAATGACAGAAACAGAATGTGGTTGTAGCAAGTTAGGGGTGAAATGGTGGTGGCCTGAGTTAAGGCAGTTGATAGAATGTGGTTGAAAAGAGTCATTTACCATTTTCTGAGTGCCCAGCCCACATTTGGGATTTATCATCTCAGAAGCTCCTAGTCAGTTCTATTGCCAGGTTAGGTGATCTTTGTTCTTTCAGATGTTCTTCAGGATTAATTTAACAGCTCCTCTCCATGCTTTCTTCTGGACGTTCTCTAGCTTCTCACCAGCCTTCCATCCTTTTCTTCCTGAGGAGTCCAGAGCTAGTTGCAGTGCTCCGTGAGGGTGAGATCCAATCTTTGCTGAGGAGGTGTGGTAGAAACTATATGGGAAGAAAGAGCCCTCGTGTGCATGCCAAATTCTCATGCCAGATAAAGCCCAGAGCCTGGACGTAGACTTACGTTTCCTTTATACTTGGAAAAATATCACTTCTAATTTTGGTGGAGTAATAAAAGGGGAGACAATGCCAGATGTATGAGCCATAGACCTAGAACCTGTGGTATTATGCTCATGACTATGAATGTGTAGTAGTTGTGTTAGTTGCTTCATAAACTCTATACTTTTTAAATTTGTATTTTATTTGACGTATTATATGTAGAAATCAATATTTTGTTAATCATCTGGTAAGTTTTATTTTTGTTTTTAATGATCACAAGAGTCAATGGAATAAGCCCATCTCTGGTTTGTGAAACTGAAGAATGTTTCAGGATTCTCATTCTGTAAGCGCTTTGCTCACCAATGTCATCTCAAAGTGCCATGCACACATGAAAAACATGTTATGAATTGGTTGGGCATTTCTAAGATTGATAGTATAGGTCCTAGGGTATCCAGTTATCCTGTGTTCATATTGTTCTATATTGTCCCTTTTTAATTTCTTTACATACATCACAGCATTATGACATATTTTGCATTCTTAAAGGCAGGGATATATTTTGTTGTTTTTGGAATTATTTTTATGTCTCTCATATTGCTTTGTATAATTTATTATCTCAGAAAACCCATTAAGTAGAAACCATTCATGGATTTTGATTGTTGTTTCTTGGTAATACATCTTTTCATTTGTTCTTGATAAAAAATATATAATACTAATGTTAGTAGGTTAGAGTTATTAACCTAATAAATAAGTTATACATAATTATACATTATATAATGAAATAACATATATATATAGTTATTAACCTAATGAATATGTTTTCTACACATGTAAGTCAGATAAAGATAGTTATGTAGAATTTGGAACATTAAGTGGAAAAATAACTTGAAAGTTACATTGATTTTGGTGTATTAGGATGTGACATTTATACATGCTCTGACAGCAAACTTTTGGTTTTCTTTGGCATCTTCAATGTTAAAATTCAGATCTAGAGACTTAATTTCTTTTCCTTTTTTTTAGTGCTATACGTTTCCTTTTGTTTTTAATAATATTTCTGACTACCAAAATAATACATATGTAATGTAAAAATTTTTAGAAGTATAAAGGATGAAATAAAAATCACCCACAGTCCCAGAACCTAGAGATAACCACTATTAACGTTTTGGTAGATTTTTTTTTTTTTTAACTCTTATCCATAGTTCTGTATACATCTTTTTGTAATCCTGAGATCATATAGTAGCATTATCTTGTAATCTCCTTTTTCCATTTAATAATGTCATCAACATTGTCCCACATTGTTAGCTTTTTAAAAACACGATTTTCCCCCAGTTTTAGTGAGATATAATTGACATAACATTATATTACTTTTATGTGTACAGCATAGTGATCTGATACATGTATATACAACATGATTACCACATTAAATTTCATTTTATGGTTTGAGGTCTTACATTCAAGTCTTTAATCCATTTTGAGTAGATTATTTGTGTGTGGTATAAGATGGTGGTCCAGTTTCATTCTTTTCCATGTGGCTGTCTAGTTTTCCCAGCACCATTTACTAAAGACATTACCTTTTCCCCACTGTATGTTCTTGGCTCCTTAATTAAATGACCATATATGTGTGGGTTTATTTCTGGGCTCTCTATTCTGTGTCATTGACCCATGTGTCTCTTTTTATGGTACTACCATACTATTTTGATTATTATAGCTTTGTAATATAGTTTGAAATCAGGAAGTGTGATACCTCCAGCTTTGTTCTTTCTAAAGATTGCTTTGGATATTTGGGTCCTTTTATGGTTCTATACAAATTTAAGGGTTGTTCTGTTTCTGTGAAAAATGCTGTTGGGATTTTGATATGGATTACATTGAATCAGTAGATTGCTTTTGGTAGTATGGATATTTTAACAGTATTCATTCTTCCAATCCATGAGCATTGTGTCTTCTTCAATGTCTTTCATTAATGTCTTATACTTTTCAGTGTACAGATCTTTTACCTTGTTTAAATTTGTTTTAGGTATTGTATTCTTTTTTGATGCAATTATAAATGGGATTGTTTTCTTAATTTCTCTGATAGTTCATTATTGGTGTATAGAAACACAACTGATTTCTGTATACTGATTTTGTTTCCTGCAACTTTATTGAATTAGTTTATTAGTTTTGACATTTTTTTGGTGGTTTTTAGGGTTTTCTAAATATGATATGTTGTCTGCAAAAAGAGACAGTTTTACTTCTTTCTTTCCGATTTTGATGCCTTTTATTTCTTTTTCTTGCCTAATTGCTCTGGCTAGGATTTCCAGTGCTATGTTGAATAAAAGTGGCGAGAGTGGGCATCCTTGTCTTGTTCCTGATCTTAGAGGAAAAGCTTTCAGCTTTTCACCACTGAGTATGATGTTAGCTGTGGGCTTGTCATATATGGCCTTTATTATGTTGAGGTACGTTTCCTCTATACCCAGTTTATTGAGAGTTTTTATCCTTTTAAAAAATTTTTTTTAATTGAAGAGGATATTTGGAAATGTTTGTACTGTGTTGTTGGGCAATAAGGATATTTATAATATCCTTAATGCTTTGCAACAGGCAAGTCAAATATGGTAAATTATTTTACAAAAACAGTATCTTCAATTCACATTTTAAAAAGCACAAGTGAATTTATGAATAGAGCACTTTGCAAGTGAACTCTTTGTAAATTAAATATTTTAATGCTTACATGAATTTAAGTGAAATCTATTCTATGAGAATTATAGTGCTTAAATTATTTAGAAGAATATATTAAGAGGAACCAGAACTGATAATTTGTCATTTAACAGATAATCCAGTACTCTATGACAATGGCAGCTTATGGGAGAAGTAATCTTTAAAATAATTTCTCAAACGATTTACAAAATTCAGTTTTAAAAAGAAGCATATTATCTGATAGTCCCTTAATTCACCACATACCTGGGAAACTTCAGCTCTTTATTTACTTGCTCTCCAAATTTATTTTAACTTTTAAAAAACTTTCTAATTTTTATTACACATTGTAAGAATAGTATGAAGACTTCCTGAATCTCTTCATCCAGCGTTACCAATTGTTAACATTTTTCCACATCCGCTTTCTCGCTCCCTCTTTCTCTCTCTGTATATACACAGGTCATATTTTTTCTTGAAATCATTTGAGATTTAGTTGCAAACATCATACTTCTTCACCCCTAAAATTCTTGAGTGTTGAACAATGTTTTTATCACTCAGATTATCCTCAAATATGAAGCTTTTTGGGTAGCTTTATTTTTTCACTTTTAACAGCTTTCTTGAGGTATAATTTATACGCCACACAGTTTGCTTTAGGCTGCATTCTTCTTCCTTCCTTCCTTCCTTCCTTCCCTGCTGGCAGAGGCTGGTACAATGCTGCACCCGGCTGAGCGAGTGTCCTTTGGAGCTGAGAAGCTGCCGAAGCTGCCTTCTGAAATCAGCTGACAGATACACCTACACAGGATGCTTTTTCTCCCAGAGTTTGGGTCGAGACTGACCCACTCAGCATTTGCTAGCAGATAGTCTAAGCAAAAGGCCACATTTTTGTCTAGTTTTGTCAATGTAACTGTAAAAAATTATTCCAACTTGAAATACCCATCGCCATTTTATGATAGTGTTAGCAAGATCCTAGATCTAAAAGTTAAAATTTCTCTGAATTTTTGGTCTGGAAGGAAGAAAGGCACCTTTAGAATGAAAAATAAGGAATCCAGGGCCTTCAGGTCTCATATTTCATTCTGCAGTAGCATGAATGATGTTTGGATGGCTGACTTCCATTTTTGCTTTGACTTGGGGCTGTTTGCTTTTTTTTTTCTTTTTCCTTTTTATTGCTTGGGGATGGGTGTATTTTTACTTATTTACTAATTGTATCTAAATTATTAGCCAAGTTTTGTAGTATGTAACGCCTACTTACATATTTCTCTTTTTTACCCCCAGGGATGAACTGTAAAAGCACCATCAGCTTGACCCGTATATAATATTACAGTGGATTGCTCATCTCAGTCCTCAAAGCTTTTTGAAAACCAACAGCATCACAGCTTGTTTTGGACTTTGTTACACTATTATTTTCAGCATGAAAATGTGTGGTTTTGTAGGGTTTCTAGTTCTTCAAAGAGGCACAGAAGCTGAATTGGTGAAAGAACGATGCAAAGTATAAATTTGTGTATTATTCCTTTAACACGCCCACATTTTACTTTAAAATATTAAAAGACGGGGTTCCACAAAATGGAAGACTTAGTTTGTGAATTGATTTCGAGGAGTGGTTTTTCCTAGACACTTAATTCTGTTTCAATATTAATTTATCAGATTGCTCTTGTGCATCAGATAACGCCATTCACAAGTTAAGATTCTTGGTTTTTGGATGTCTGTTAGATGCCACTAAGAAAATAGAGATGAGCTTCCTTTTTAAAGCTTTTGATGTGGTGTCCTAGAGTAGCATGTTGTAGGTACAATCAGCTGCTTTGTTACCTTAAAACTAAGCATTTGTAAATATTAAAACTTAAGAAGATGGCAGGTGATGTCCTTCACAACACTTAGCTGTTCAGATTGGACATAACTGATATAGTTATTCCTTTCCCTCTTTAAAATTATAGGAGACTTGTAGCTCAGTATTGTTTTTTCTGTTTCTAATTTGCTGCTGATAATGTATATGAATTTACCGTGCTGTGTAAGCTGGGTCCTAGTCACTGAACAGTTTATGCAGTGCTGCTTTGCCAAATAAAGTTAAAAGTAAAAGAGGCATTGGTGGTGTTTGAATACAAAAGAAAGAACCACATGTCCACCAGATACGGAATGCTGACTGAGATCACAGAGGTAGAATTGTGTCTCTGATGCTCTGTTTTATGAAATCTGAGTAGCATAAATGGATAGCATTAATCCAGCCGTGCATTTGGAGAATATGACGACGTTTCCGGCCCACGAGGACTACACTACATTTGTAGAATATGACTACGCAAGGGCTACATCATTTTTCTCTGCCTGACACGGGGCTTGCCCTCTTGTACAGGAACAGTAAATGCTGAATGAGTGAGTGAACGCGTTGACTTCGCGTCGGGGAAGAACAGAGTCAGGGATACATGTACCAAAACACACTTCTCATCTATACATAGGCTTATTAATATAATGACTGGAAAATGAGTTTCTATGAGGGCAGTAGCACTTTGGGATCTTGTTTAAATACTGTGGTCTTAAGCCTTTTATAAAAGGATCTTAGTTTTTCTAGGAGTTCTAGAACTTGAGAAAAATGTGAACTAGATCTAGCAGAACTCGTACTCCCAGCAGAGCAACCCCCTCCGGTGTGCACATGTGTAGGATTCTGCCAAGTCGATCCTTGGAGTGTGAGGCTCCTCTTCCCCACCTCTTAAAGTCTTAAGTTTTATTTGTTTAAAAATGGGGTTTTTTTTTTTGTTTTTTTTTTTACGCACACATCTTTTCGCTGGTGTCTTCTTGGGCAAGATCTCAGACCTGAGAAACTAGCATCCGTTGGCACCTAAAACTTGTGTTTCAGGTCCTTGCCGGCTTCAGTCTGCTGCTGTTGGTACTGCTTCTGGACCTAGGCCATGGACCCTTTGGGGGCAGGACTCAGTGTCATTTGAGGTAGCTTCAAAGGTTTTCTTTAGGTCTTAAAACTGAATTGATTCTTAAACTTATCCACTAGTCTGTATCCTTCATAGCCATGGCCGGCATTTTATTATATGTAAATCCCTTATGTTAGGTCTTGGGGCTAGAAAAAAGGGCTTAACTCTCAAGGAGTTTACAATCTGGCCGAGGGGACAGTTTATAAATACAGTAGGACCAAGTGCCACCTCACTGGTATAGACAAATGCCATGTCACGCATTACTTTTGGATTTTCCACTTTTGTGAATTAAAATTTTTAAATGTTGAATAAACAGGAGTTGATTTTAAGGGAGCATCGGTGAAGTGGCAGAGATAGAGCAACAGTGGATTTTAACTAGGTCTAAGAGCTTTCCTTTTCAAAGCTAAATTTACATATGTGCTGGTCAGAGATAAGAAATGTCTCTTTAATCTTTAGGATTCACAATCTCTAAAATATTTTAGCATTCCATTTTTTCTTAATAGAAGTGATTCCTTCATACAGTATAAGGAAGACAATGAAAATATTTTTAAAAGTTCCAGTCTTGTGAGATCCTATTGAAACAAGGTGTTTTTACAGATTTGACTTTGTTAAAGGACAGATCTAGCTCCTAGTTAAGAATTAAAATTAAGGGCGCCTGGGTGGCTCAGTCGGTTGAGCGACTGCCTTCGGCTCAGGTCATGATCCTGGAGTCCCGGGATCGAGTTCCGCGTCGGGCTCCCTGCTCGGCGGGGAGTCTGCGTCTCCCCCTGGCCCTCTTCCCTCTCGTGCTCTCTATCTCTCATTCTCTCTCTCTCTCAAATAAATAAATCTTTAAAAAAATTAAGAATTCCAGTTTCTATTTTTTTTTAATTGTCAGATAATATATATTTTTAAGATTTTATTTTATTTCAGAGAGAGTGAGAGAGAGCATGAGAGGGGGGGAGTGGGAGAGGGAGAAGCAGACTCCCCACTGAGCAGGGAGCCCGATGTGGGGCTTGATCCCAGGACCCTAGGATCATGACCTGAGCCAAAGGCAGGCAGATGCTTAACGACTGAGCCACCCAGGCGTCCCAAGAATTCAGTTTCTAATGAGGGTTTTAACTCTTTCCCAATCAGTAACATTAGGGGAAAAAATGACATTTTAGGAAAATAATACATTGTGCAAATATTTAAAATCCCATTGCCCTAATTTTTAAAAACCGCCATTGCTAAAAAAAAAAGTCAATTACACTTTTTAAGTTGACTATAATGTATCTATCCTAAAGCATCTTAAAAAATCAATGTATTTTATTTTTATTTTTTTATTTTATTTTTTTTTAAAGATTTTATTTATTTATTTGAGAGAGAGAGAGAAACAGTATGAGAGGGGAGAAGGTCAGAGGGAGAAGCAGGCTCCCCGCTGAGCCGGGAGCCTGATGTGGGACTCGATCCCAGGACTCCAGGATCATGACCTGAGCCGAAGGCAGTTGCTTAACCAACTGAGCCACCCAGGCGCCCAAAAATCAATGTATTTTAAAATAAGATAAATAATGTAATGCTCATGAATTTTTTGAAACCATTCTTAGCATCAGATTGTCAGCCAAGAAATAGAGCTTCTCGCTCATTAGAGAAGGAGGTGTTTCTAGTTTTCAGCTAAATGTTAACAAATTTTCCAGTAGTTTGGTATGGCACGAAAAGAGCTCATATGACAATGGTAATTGAATACTAATGTTGTAAATGAAATATCAAACCGGTAATTTTTTAAATGTTCTAAATGGGGTTCAAAAGGTCAATAACTTCGGTAAGTGCTAAAAGTCTTTGAGGGTATAAATCATCACTTCCTACAAATTTTACTGAGTTATTTAAAGCACTAGCAAACCAAAGTGTTCTGATCAGATTTCAGTTTCATGTCCCTTGATTTCTCCTACCATTTTTCAGGAAGATGACCGTGTTTTGTCCCCATTGTACTCAAAAGGGTGGCTCAAATAGATGGCTGGTAAGAAAATCCTGCGTGAAGAAAACTGGCTGGCCCACGTGGCCCGCAGAAATTTGCATCTGTGTCCTGTAATATCATAAAAATGAAACAAGTCCAACAGTTTCCTTATCTTTAATCCTTCTACTAGTGCTGTAATAGTAGGTGTTACTTCCCCTCCTCAGACTTCACCTTTGTATCTAACTGTGATGTCTGAGCCAGGACTCTATGAAGCGTTCCCTTGCTTGGTGGAAGAGAAAATATCTTTTAGTTCCCATAGATGCTACCCACAGCCGGGGAATCCCTCACTTCCTCTGTCTTTTCCTTTCCCCTCCCTTCCTTTCCTGACATGATGTCCAGAGGGCTGCTGGAGCTGAAGAACTCATTTTTACTCAGTGGGAGTGTCCTAATAGGATGGGCATCACAAGAAGAATACTTTTTGTCCCAAGGGCAGGTGATCACAACACTGAAGACATTTTAAATATGAAAGGGCAGCAACCCAGGGGCCTGGGGCAGCTGAGGACATTTATATTTGAATTTCCACTCCCCAAACACATCACTGTGCCCCACTCCATAGGATCACATCACAAGGAGTCTTTTTTTTTTTTTTTTTACCAGCCCTATTTATTTAGGTTTTTGGTGATAATCCTGTCAAGATTTAGCTTAGAAATTCCATTGTAGATGAAAGAGCCTGTAGATGAAAGATGAAAGTAGCATTTCCATGTTAACATGACTGTGTCAGTTGTAAATAATTTATAAAAGATATTTTCTGGGGAAAAATACCTGCCTTCTTTAGGATCTTGGCTCCTTTATGCGATTAGCTTGTAGGGAACAGAGTTGGATCAAGCAGGCTGGAAGTTACAAGTGGGGGTGTCAAGGAGTGTCAGACCATCGCCCCTCAACAGCAAACAACATTGAAGGCATGATCTCAGATTGCACAGTTCATTGTTCTGATTTCTTCGTTCTTCTACACACATATCTCTAGATTACACAGATATTTCTAAATCTTTTTTCATCTGTGAAACTGCTTTGTTATTAAATACGAGAACACAGCTTTTTGATTTATTTGGAATTTTGGGTCTTCAGTCATATGAAATGAATGAAAATAAAAAACTTTTTTTTTAAGTCCATATACTCAATACAATTTCCCCTAGCTTTTCGGTACAAGTTAAAATAATTTTAAAATGTGTTTTGAGGGGTACCTAGCTGGCTCAGTCAGAAAAGCATGCAACTCTTGGCTTTGGGGTTGTGAGTTTGAGCCCCACGTTGGGTGTTGAGATTACTTAAGTAAATAAAACCTAAAAAAATTTAAAAGTGTGTTTTGAGAAGTTTCCTAAGTTTTAAAATGACTGTATAAAAATATCCTTAAGCTGAATGATACTGTATATTGATCTCTTTCCAATTTACAGTATGGTAACTCACAAGACTCAGAACTGAGGTGATGGGGGAATTAAAATGAGTAGGAATGAAGACACACTGAGAGAGACCTATGTGAAGCAAAGGGAGAAAGCTTGGTTCTAACCAGCTCATCTCTGGACACATTCAGCTTTTTTTTTTAATATTTTATTTATTTATTTGATAGAGACACAGCAAGAGAGGGAACACAAGCAGGGGGAGTGGGAGAGGGAGAGGCAGGCTTCCTGCAGAGCAGGGACGGGACTCGATCCAGGACCCCGGGATCATGACCTGAGCCAAAGGCAGACGCTTAACGCTTAACGACAACCACCCAGGGGCCCCTGGACACATTCAGCTTCCAACCTTATTTTCATCCTTGGTGATTTTATATTTAACCAAAAAACAAAAACAAAACAAAACAAAAAACCTGCTATCCAAGTATCCATGAAATAGGTACTTTATTTTGGATTCTAGAATTGAGCAAGACCAGAGAGCTGAGAAAAATGGGGCCAGTCCCCAAGAAAAAGTCAGCAACACAATTGCTTAAAAAGTCAGGGCGATGAGAACACTTGTGAACAGCAAACTGCAAGCTAGGCTTTTCCCTCTTTCTATATGATGTGGGCAGTGTTTTTCATTAGAAATTGTCATTCAGTTTCAATGCCAACAGCTGCAGAAAACCTGGAGTCCAGAAAAGAAAAGAAGTAATTGTAGTCACTCCGATAAGAACAAAGTGGTGCAATCCCCAAACATGAAATCGGGGACAATATAACTTAACAGAGACCCCAAATGCCAATCTCAGGCTGGGATGCTTCTGTTACATGGCATCATTGCTGTGATGTAGACAGAAGGCGGGCGACGGAGCCCGGCGCCCGGACTCCCGGGCACACCACACCGCGGTACGTTTCCGTCTGTGACGTCCAGGGAAGTCATAGCGAAGTCTGCCTTGAACCCCAAAACTGAAGAATAGAAATATACATCTCTGCATTTGGGTTGCAGGAAAATCTAGAACAACATGCAACAGCCGTCAGAGGCTGAGGAGGGTTGGTAAGTGCGAAGGTGAATGGTGTGGCCAAGTCACAGAGGATGAAAAGGCAGCAGAGAAAGGTGAAGACATTCTGTCGTCTTCCCGTGGAAGAGAACAAATTTGATCCTCGAGCAACTGGAGACATTCAAATGCGTGGGGAGGGATGGAGACTAGCTGTTGTCTACTTGTATTGAGAATTAGAGCAAAGAAGCTGTATGTTTTCTTTAAGATTTTATTTATTTGAGAGAGAGTGAGAGCATGAGATGGGGGAGGGCCAGAGGGAGAAGCAGAAGAACCCCCGCCGAGCAGGGAGCCCGACACGGGACTCGATTCTTGGGGCCCCGGGATCATGACCTAAGCAGAAGGAGACACTTCACCGACTGAGCCACCCGGGTGCCCAGCTGTACATTTTCTGAAAGGTGGCGTTACGTGGGCCTTTACGCTCTCAGGAAAAGACACGTGAGACATAAGAACATGTTTGAGCAGTAAGTTGTGGACAATCTTCCCTTTAAAATTATTTTTAAATTATCTTAGATGCAGAACTCCTCCAATCAGATACTCACAGGTAAGGTAACTTTAAATTTAAAGTCCCACTCAGTCCACCTGACAATATAACTATTTTGTAGGCCTTGATTCTCCTTCTTTAATTCTTAATTTTCCCCTTTGCAAGATAAGGTTGATATGATTAAATCCAGGTGATATAGTAACAGCTCAGTAAATAACAGCAACTCATGATGATGATTTGACTAAAAGGTTATTTTAAAAAGGCATAAGAATAAAATAAAATTTATTAAAGGGATATTGTACACATGGATATGGACATATTTTCTCAAGTATTTCAACAGAATAGCAATGCTAAACTGTGTTTAATTTCCTCATGTATAAAAAGATGTGCCGAAAGATGCATGCCTCATCAGTTTTAATTTTATTGGGTATGGCCATATGTGACACCCTTCTCTAGAAAAGCAAACTGCAAAGCGTCACACAGAGGGTACAGATATCCTAAGTCACTCAAGCTGTCATTTCTCCAGTCTCCTCTTGAGGAGAACTTCAAGCCTTTGCTCAATTCTAAACATTCAACAAAATGCTTGGACCTCTTGGGAAATAAAAGTACCAATTTCTTTGTTTTTCTAGAACTAACTTTCTGTTTATTAATGTAGTCTGTTATATTTCTGACCCAGATTAAGCCCTTTGCTAAAGGGACAACTTACCTCAGTCTGAAAATAAAGGATTCTACAGTGTTTTCAAGTATTTTAGAATATTTGCCAGTTCTGATAAAAAGCCATTATTATAGAAAGAGTAACATCATTGTGAGTGTAGACAGGCACCACATGGTAGATTCCTCTCAGGAGAATGATTTCTCGGGTGTGTGTAATCCCGGCATGAAATGAGGATGGGAATAATTTGCCTTTAAAATCCTATGGATTGATTAAAAGGGAAAAGATGCTAAACTAGATGCCAGTTTTCTGTAAAGATGAATTTGTGCAAGACTGCTTTATGCTCTGGGAATACGTGAGCCTGGCATTGGCCGACTGCACATTTTAACATTTTATAGCACTAAACAAATGATGGGAGAAAACTGGCCTATTCCATTGGATGAAAGAACCTGCTGATTCTTAAACATGGGACCTTTTTACAAAAGCTGCACCCAGAAATCTACTTAGTGTTCTGCTTTTCAATTTGAATGCATTTTTCTCTTCCATCAACACAGATTCCTGCTGAAAACCAGTGACTATATAAATAAAGCTGCTGTGTTCTGGACCATCTAGCAGTGTCGAGTAGATTCGAGAAAGTACTAATGGTCGTCCTGGCACGTTGCCCTCAGCTAAATTTGTGTTCCAACGTTTGACTTCCACCTCTGCCGTCACCATGATTCCCAACCCCGCTCCAGGACCACGTCACAGCTAGTTGTAATCCAAAGTCAGCGTGTTTTCTCCCAAAGGCAAGCCTGAGGGGGCAGCCACCCAAGGGACCTGAGGTCAGAGGCACTGGGATAAACTCACACTCACCTGCCCTGACACCTCCTCGACGTGCTCATGAGGGTTATACTTTAGACATTCCTGCCAGAGGGAGCATCTCATTGAAGGTCTAAACTCAAGTACTTGAGATCCATTCTCAGAAATAGGTTTCGAAGGGGAGAAGAGAAAGGAGAGCACTGGACAAGAAGGCCTCCGAACAAAGGAGCGGAAAGTGGCCCAGGGCTGCCAGGGGCCAATGGTTGGCTTCTTAAAGGTAAAGGGTTAACGTTGCCATTCGAAGGCCACCCCTCGAGAACCTGAATTTTCTGCCTTGGCTCACTGCAAATTGCTATTTTTCAGGGACAGCTTACCTAAGTCAGAATTAGATTTGTGTTTTTACTCATATAGACGCCTCTCTAAATTTCAAAACATTTCACATACTCCCCAAAGAAACTCTTGCTACAATAAATAAAAACAAAGGTTTGGGGTTTACAGAATATTCTGGGGTTTCAGTATTTTTCTTAGCCCAGTTCAAACCAAAGAGGTTATAAATATCCAGAACCATCAGTGGATAAATTATAAGGAAAACATCGTCGCCCCCAGCTATTTAAGTGACACTTATCACAGATACATCCCATTTATGAGGTAGTCGGATTCCTCAGACGTAATGGGACGAGCTTTCTTCAGTTTCTGTTTCACCAGGCGTAGGCGGCACGCCACCATGAGGAGCAGCAGCGCCGTGATGGCCAAGCCCAGGGCCAGGGGTAGAACCGCACCTGTGAAGCGGTTAGAAATGAACAGGGCAGGTCAGTGAGCAGCCACGATAGAGCCACAGTTTACTGTACGGTGAGCACTTTGCAGGCACTGTTCTAGTTCATCTGAACAACTCCATTACGTACGTACTTGTACTATCGCCATTTTACAGATTAAGGTGCGGAGATGGAGTCATGGGTCTGAGAGCACCTGGTTTGTAAATGGCAGGTGTAGTTCTCAAACCCAGGCTTCTTTCAAACCAGATTCTGTACCGGGTTCCTACAACAGGTGGGTAGCATCAGTGGGCACCAAGGTTGTAGCTGGATCCCCCTCAGCCCCCCCGTAACAGACTCTGAATGGACAGCGGTGAAGACATGGTGGCCACAGGAGCGTTTTCATCGTAGTCACAGATGATATTTGTGGATCCATCCATGATCATTCTCTCAGAATAAGTATGGACTGATTCCTGACTTCTTGTAGGGTTTTAAGAAATTTATTTTCTTTTCTAAATCCAGAGAACCTACCCTCAGCCAGTAAGATCCACTGTTGAGAGCCAACTGCAAACTGTGCTGGTGTAATTCTGGCGAAGGGTACTTGAAGAAAAACATCTCTCTCATTCTCCTTCAAAGGGTCTCTCCTGGGGGTTGCGTCTTAGACACCCAGACGAGAAGCGAGAAGCAGCCTTTCAAGGCCAGCAGAAGTCTGGAAGGGACAGGGTGTGTCCCGGGTGAGTCTTCCTTATCAAGCTCAGCAGGCTCTATTCTTAGTCTGATCTACTCTGGAGTCAGACCAGGCTTGGAGACGATATGGCGGAGCTACTTTTAGCCGCAGGGGTCTTGCCAACTCGTGGAATTAGAGGGATAAAAATGCCCATCGCATAAGCTGATTCTATAACCTTTCATCTCGTTCCTTTCTTCACTCATGCAGTGTTCAGTCAGAGCTATGTGCCTGACACTGAGCTCAGTGCTGGTGACCAAAGATGATAAGTCCATGCTACAGAGTCCCGGCACTGTTCTAAGTGCCTTTTTTTTTTTTTTTAAAGAATGATATATTTTTTAAAGATTTATTTATTTATTTTAGACAGACAGAGAGAGAGAGAGAGAGAGAGAGAGTCTTAAGCAGACTCCAACACAGGGCTTGATCCCACGACCCTGAAATCATGACCTGAGCTGAAACCAAGAGTTGGACGCCTAACCGACTGAGCCACCCAGGCACCCGTACTCTTCTAAGCGCTTTATGGTATAAATCATTTAATTCTCAGAACCACCATTTGAGTTGGTACTATTATTATATCTATTTTGCAAATGAAGGAACTAAGATATCAAGAATGAAGTGACTTGTCTGAGCTTGTAAGATCAGTGGTGCAGCGAGGACAGGGTCCCAGGCAGGGCAGCTCCAGACCCACCACTGTACAGAACTTCTTCAAAAGGGAAATGAGATCATGATTTTATTGACTTCAGGTCTGGGTAGACAAATATTTAAGTGAAAAAACACCATTAAGTACTATAATTACTGTGACAGAATTAGATCAGAAGTGCCGATGTAAAAGGAGTGGTTTGTGTATCCGGTTCATAGGATTTTTTGCTCCAGTGGTTTAAATGTATGATGGAGCTCCTTTGGGGTGGGTAGGGGAGATAAATGTATTTTCTGACATTTTTGGATTGAAATGCCTATACATGATTCAGGTAGAATTTTCTTTAGGTTTCTGAAATTTTTTTTTAAAGATTTATTTCTTTGAGAGAGAGAGGGCGAGAGAGAGCACGCACCCATGGCGGGGTGGGCAGAGGGAGAAAGAGAGAGAGAATCTTAAGCAGACTCGCTGCCGAGTACGGAGCCGATCTCATGACCCTGAGATCATGACCTGAGCCGACATCAAGAGTCAGATGCTTAACTGACTGAGCCACCCACGTGCCCCATAGGTTTCGGGATTATTTGGGCCTAAATATGTGAGAGTTGTTAGCGTCGAGGTTCTGGTTGCAGCCACAAAGGGGATGAAATTGCCAGAGAGAAACGGAGGAGGACAGAAAGAGATGCATCAGAGAAGTGGCAGCGCAGCCAACGGACAGGGGAGCCTCGGAAGCACAGGGAAGAGACTTTCAAGGAAGCACTTGGCTGAACCAAATGCTAAGAAGAGGTCAAGTGAGGTGAAGCCCGGAGAGGCCAATGGACTTAGCAATCAGAAATTCTTTTCAGGGAGACTGAAGATTGAGGGATGCTATTTTGTTTTTATGTGTTGGGAGAGATCTGAAAGTGTCTGCAGCTGTTGGGGGAACCAGCCAGTAGAGAAAGAGATTAAAAACACAGGAGAGTTGGGGCGCCTGGGTGGCTCAGTTGGTTAAGCATCTCCCTTCAGCTCAGGTCATGGTCCCGGGGTCCTGGGATCGAGCCCCACATCGGGCTCCCTGCTCCGCGGGAAGCCTGCTTCTCCCTCCCCCACCCCCCCTGCTTGTGTGCCCTCTCTCGCTGTGTCTCTCTCTGTCAAATAAATAAATAAAATCTTAAAAAAACAAAACAAAACACAGGAGAGTTAATTAATGATGGAGAAACGTACCTGAGAAGATTAGAGCTTGTATCAAGGTCAGGGGGAGACTGACCTTGGAAAGAGGGGACACTTCTTCCTTTAGTACTGAAGGAAGGAAGCGGGGGGGTGCAAACGGACGGGTTTTCACGTCTGGGGATGAGTAGCTGAGGACGCCCACTCTGCTTGTTCAGGGCAGGGAAGGGACTAGAGGTGGCCCTTCTAAATGTGTGTGATTTTGCGTAAGGATGAGCACCGGTGCTTAGGCCTCAGGGAACGGGGCTGTGCTTGAAGATCCCCATCCCAGGTCTGGGGTGCAGATGCAGCTATGGGTAACAACAGAGCAGACATACCATCTCGGGGAACTTTCTGTTTCCCAAGTCAGAGATGAGCTGGCTAAACTGTCAAATTGATTTCTGTTTAATGCTTTGAATACAAGGAAAATGAAATCTCCCATACAGAACTTGCTACGATACTGCAAATTATTCTAGACTTTTCAATACTCATTTGGCATGGTTTCTTCATTGTCTTTAGTTTGGGTATTTGGAGATTTAACATTTTCTAAACCCTTGTAAAACACATCATGATATAATTTTCTCAGGAACCAGCTAAGGAGATGAATTGGGTATTCTGCTCGTATGAGTGGGAGTGACGTTCATAATACATGACAACTGGAATGGGCAATGGGCAGTTAGAACGGAGACTCTTCTGCATACAACCAGGCATGGGAGCCGGGCAGGCCTGGTTTCCCTTTACGTGTCCATGGGTGACAGGGCCCTTTTTATTCAAATATCTGGGGCTGGGGTAAGTCCAGCAGGCCTGCAGACTGAGCAGCATCTAGGTACTTGAGGTCTGGATTATTCTGGCCATCTGTTGGTTAATGGTTATACTTTAATGTTGTCCAGATTTTACAAAGAACACTCTAGGGTAAAAAGAAAGCCTTCTCCACGTTCAGATCTATAATTTAAGAATCAGCTTTTGTCCTCCTGAATCTTCTTTTACTAATTAGTTCATGGGATTTAGGACTAAAACCTACTTTTCTACAGAACTATGTCGAATGTGTTTTCTTTCTCCTTAAAAACCACCAAAATCATGGAATTATGGTATTCTTTTTGTACTCACTAAATATTCCCTCAACCTCCAACACTCTTTCCTCATTCCTATTGTCTTGGGTCTTTATTGCGCAAGCATGCTGGAGAGATTAGGTACTCTAAGATCTTTACTCTTGTAGTATAACTAACTCAAACATAATAGCCACCATTTATCTGGCTCATTGTATGAGCCATGCAGTGTGCTAAATGGCTTCACTGTCCCATTCACCCTCCCTAACAACTCTGAGGCAGTGAGAGTTGTTATCTCCATCTTACTAATGAGGAGACTGGGATCCAGAGAGAGAAAATCGCCCACCCCAGGTCATAGAGTTTAGTGGTGGAGCAAGGCTCTGAACCTTGGCATCAGATTCTAGAGCTCGAGTTCTTTTTTTTTTTTTTTCTAATATTTTATTTATTTATTTGTCAGAGAGAGAGAGAGCACAAGCAGGGGGAGCGGCAGGCAGAGGCAGAGGGAGAAGCAGGCTTCCCGCCGAGCATTGAGCCTGATGAGGGGCTCCATCCCAGGACCCTGGGATCGTGACCTGAACTGAAGGCAGACGCTCATGGACTGGGCCACCCAGGTGCCCCTGGAGCCCGTGTTCTTAAACCCTGTGCATGAGTATTACTCTTCCCACAGAATGTTACACCTGGGAGGGGATATAATGATAATCTAGTCCAATCAACTTCTAAAAGAGGAAGCCGAAGTCCGAAGATGGAGGTTACTAGTTTAAGAGCCCAGCGAGGCAGCATGATGGAGGAAGGGAGAACCGTACCTTCTTCTGACCCACAGGTCCTGTCATGACTCCAGCAGCTGCATCTGATACCTGCAGCTGGAGGATCTGGGATTCTGCAGATGTCTATACTCTGCAATGAATTTCCAAGTTACACACTTACCTGTTTCTGGGGCTGGGTGTCCCCCTCCTCCTCGATCGCTCTTGGACTCAAAAATATAATTTTCCTCTTTTCTGTTCTTCCCTGAGGAGCCACGATCTACAGGAAACAAATAGAACGTATACTGAAGGTACAGCAGAAACTTCAGGAAACAGACATGAAAAGACAGCCTTATTTGTTTTTTTAGGATGGATCTCAAGGACTTACAGAATTTATTTCTCTAGTAAACCTAGGTCTGTGATGGATACTAACACACTGGACAGCTCACGTGACCGGTTTAGTAATGCGGAGGTTGGGGCTAGAACAAAACCGTGGGCAGAGAAAGGGAAGAGGCAGAAGGCACCGGAAGTCTAACCGGCGCCCTGACCCTGGAGGGTGAAGGAGAGGCCTTGGCTCGAAAACTCAAGGGTAATCTCTGGACTTCATACCACAGAAAGCAGAAGCAGTCCACAGAGGTTTTTCTTTAAAAAAATGAACAGTAAGCGGGAGCCTGGGTGGCTCGGTTGCTTAAGCATCTGCCTTCGGCTCAGGTCATGATCCCAGGGTCCTGGGATCGAGCCCCACATCGGGCTCCCTGCTCAGTGGGGAGCCTGCTTCTCCCTCTCCCACTCCCCCTACTTGTGCTCTCTCTCTCCCTTTTTTATTTATTTGAGAGAGAGAATAAGAGAGAGCATGAAAGAGGGGAGGTTCAGAGGGAGAAGCAGGCTCCCCGCTGAGCAGGGAGCCAGACGCGGGGCTCGATCCCAGGACCCTGAGATCATGACCTGAGCCAAAGGCAGACGCTTAACCAACTGAGCCACCCAGGCGCCCCTAAATAAATAAAATCTCAAAAAAAAAAAATGAGCAGTGAGCATACAGAAGGCGCTCAGACACACTATTTGACTTTCTTACCTCAACCCTACTTGGCAGGTATTCATTGCTTCATGGGTTCTGGTTTGGTCAGAGAGGCTTGGCATCTGCCCAGGTTCTTTCGAGTAGTAAGTGGGTCACAGGGCTGGGGTTTATTTATTTATTTTTATTTACTTTTTGAGAGAGAGTGTGTGCAAGCGAGTGGGGGCAGGCGGAGGCGGGGAAGTGCTGGGAGGCGCGGAGGGAGAGGAAGAGAGAGTCATAACCAACTGAGCCACCCAGGCACCTCAGGGCTGGGATTTAAACCCAGGTGTGCCTAACTGCTTGTTGGCGGAAACCAGCCCTTGTGATGTAATAATGTGCTGCTAATTGCCCACTCTATTCCATTATATTATTGAGAGCAAATAGTGAGAAAGATCAAATCTTAGGACTTTTATCCCAGGTCTGATAAGCCACGATTATACCATTGTATCATCTCCTATCTAGGAATTGACGACATTTGCGTGCTTTATTACACTGACAATATAATGAATAACGAGCTAGTGGAGTTGCCCTCCTGCTGTGATCTCAGGGGAGATTGCGGGATAATATAATTCCCAGTGACAATATATTAGAAATGATGAACTGGCATGAGGAATTTTACTGAGAAACAAAACCAAATTTTAAAGCTTCTTTACTCATAGGTCATCAACAGGTACGTTCGTAACTCCTGCAACTGAAATCGGGCTACTTAAATGTAGTATTTATAAAATTCTTTGTAGTTTGTACTCAGGGATATGCCTGGATTTACTAAGGATCACAAAAATCAAGAGGAAAATGGAAAATTGTGAAATTATTGCGGGTACCTACTAGAGCCAGAAAGCCATGACTTAAGCCGATCATAGCAGCCCCGGGCTAACGCTGCTGAAGAGAAGGGACTGCAAATACGTTTAATTTCTTTACGGCATCCTTGACGCTCCTTTTCACTCAGCCCCACCAGTCATCCGTCTCGGGACAGTGCAGACCCTGTCCAGGATACCCTGTGAAATAGCCCCGACTGCGGCCCCTCTTCTCTGTCCTCAAGGCCACAGCCTTAGGTGTCTGTCACCTTTAACTCAAGCACTGCAAGAACCTCTGCCCCGGGCGGGGCGTGTCTGCCAAGGTTCTCACCCACACTCCCCAGTGTCCGTGCCAGGAGGCTGGCCCACATTTGCGCCCTCCATTCTGCTGTGCTTCTCCATGTTACTCTAAAAGGACCCATCCAGGCCACCTGCATGTAGCCAGTAATGTGAGCTGTCCTCCATAGACTCCTGGCCCAAAGAGAATGAGACACATGAGTAAGGCATAAGCACTTTCTTGTAGGCCAGAGAATCAGATTTACTTTTCAAGTTGATTGCTACTATTGGCCACTTGACTGTGGTGGTGTAAGGCCCGCTCCCACCCAGAGCCGTGAGGGGAGGGAAAGGAAGAGGGGCAGCCGGTGAGAGACTATACTCACGGACTAAGGGGTGGCTGCCTGGCGCTGTGGGGGCCTGGGTCCCAGTAGGATGGGGACAGGGACTACTGAATCTAAGCCATTGGGGCTGGGGGAGCGCTGAGGCCATTGAGAACCTGGGCTGTCCTCCACGTGGCAAGCTGATTTCGACCCCTTGGGATTTTGTGGACCAATTAAAAATTCAAAATGATTTTGGGGCCAATTTGGGGTTGTCAATTTTTTATTTTGCCAAGACATTGAAAGAAATGGCCATTTATGAAGGCCATTGCCTTTACTTCATTATAAAGTGAGGAAATGCGTAAACCCACAAAACATGAAGAATTTAATCCATAAAAAGGACAGCTCTTTAAATGGAGTAAGTTCAGCCTTATAAAAAAGACTGCTTTGTCCTTATTTTTCTCATTTTTGCCATGAATGCATGAAAGCTTTATCATGGGTGGGTACTGATACTTCCTCGACTGGACTAAATTCGGTTACCCTCCTTCTTGACTCCGCCTGTCCGGATGCCTCAGCAGGGCTTTCAAGGTCCTCTGTATTGCCCTCAATTCTCGATAAACACCCTTCACTTTGGGTAGCTGGGATCCCCTGCTTCAATAATTGTCATTCCCAAACCCATTTGCTCATGCAATTAATGAGAACCCTGTTTTCCATGTATTCAAACTCTTTCTGCCCACTGTTCAGAGCACAGTGCAACATTCACGCCTGTCCCAGGTAGGGCCGCCTGTCCACGAGGCTCAATGGGTAAAGAGCCGGCAAAAATGTTTCAACTTGATTTCTCTTAAAATTACAAGAACACAATGGATATGATAATAGTGAATCTAGCCTATGTTATATTACTCTCTATTGCAACACAGTCATAAAGCATAATATTTGTTTTTTTTAAGGGCCCATGAAAGTTACAATGCAGATCTACAAGTGGCCAACCCGACTTCTCTAGCACCCACAGATCTCTTCCTTCGGAGCTTCTAATGCCCTAATAGAAAGAACTGTATAAGCAGGTCTTAAGGGAATTGTAGCTGTTTCCTATCTCTGTAGCTAAGAGAAAAGGTCCTTGAACTCACGGTGAGGCTTGTGGCTGAAGCCATCGTCCCACTGGGGCTGGTATTTAGACACTAAGTTAAATTCTGGCCTTATTACTTATTAGCTGTGTGACCTAGTCTCAGTGTCTTCAACCATAAAATGTGGCTAATGATTTCTGCACGCCACCAGGTTGCTATGAAGACCCAAGACGTGCACAGTGACAGGCACTCAGTAAGTCCTCTCTCCAATAATAAATCTGGAAGTGGGAAGATCACATGGCTGAGAACTCATGTCCTACTTTTTAGAAATAATGAGCCAGGAATAAAAACATCAGAATTTACCAACCTCCAATTCTTTCCAGAGGATTAGCTAGTTTGTCTTTTACCCAATGGAAAAATATAAAATAACTACATTCACAATGCCCCCCTGCCCCTGTCTCTTTCCAACAAAGATGAGAGATTGCTCACTCTGATTCTGAGCAGGAACTCGGTACTGGGGCCACCACTGCACTGTTTTTATTTTTTTTATTTGCACTGTCTTATTGGCTTGTTGCTCTCTTACACGAGTTTCCTAGTGAATGCCACTGCCCTCGAATGCTCCAGCAAAAAGTCATCAGGCATGAACAGCTACTGAGAGACCTAGATTATATTTACATACGGTGTCTCACGCAATCCTTGTAGCCACTCTGTGAGAAGATACTATTATCCTGCAAGGAAATGCAGTTCAGAGCAGTTAATGACCTGGCATCTAGTAACTGGTGGTGCTGGAATTAGAACCCAGGACTGATCCAGAGCAGGAGTGTTTCTACTCAACCATACTGTTCTCAGAGCCACAGATCCAAGAACTTAGAGTTGATACCGCACTTATTTACTCATATCTAGAGTAATGTATATCTACCATATTTATTTACTGAAATCAAAATACCTTGACAAAAATCACAAATTTAAATATTTCCTTAGGAAGTCTGAGACAAAGCTCTATTAAGGATGCAGCAGAGAAAGAGCTTAATTGTACTTAGAAAGGGGATCTTGCCTTGGAGATGGGTTCATGTGGAAAACTGGACAAATTCATTCTGCATCTTCAGTTGTCAACTTTGAAGAGTATTTTCTTAGCTGTCCTCAGGGAGGGATCAGGCAGGGAGAGGGCAGTGCACACAGGAGACTTAAGACACAATTGCCACAGACTCTAGAATTTCCAGGGGATTTGCCCTGCTCGAGTCGGTATTTGAAATGTGAATTTCTGTTTTCTACATTTCAGGGAGGAAGTCACTGTCATTTCCCAGACTGTCTGATTCACTTTGCCTAGACGCCAACGTATGGCACACCAGAGAGAAACCCTTCACTTCCTCCTGTCCTATGGTAGGCTCTCTCCAGAGTGGCAAGTCAAAACAAACAAGACAAAGATGGCATTTGCTTCTGCAAATAGCTTATTTCTAATGACCCTTTTACATAGTTAATGTCTTAGGAAATTATTTTGTCCCTTTTCTGAATGACATATTGTGCTATGTGTACATGCATAGCCATGCATTCACAGCAGGAGTTGGAAGCTGGATAGAGTTGTTTTAAATTCATTTTCAGTCACCACAGAACATGCAGGCATGTTCTGGAAGGAAGGTGGAAATACCAGCTACAAAAGTGGCTACAATACGGGCCTGCCTTCCAGAATGCTCTATGGCTTCCTATGACCACCTGCCGACTGACACAGACAACAGAATTGTTCTTTGTCGCTATTCACTGGCAGAGCACACTGCATGGCT